GCCCTGGAGTTCTTTTCAACCATTCTGAATACACTGCTTGTGGAGTTTGATTCCTGCAAAGGAAGCCCCACCTGTGAAGGCTGTACTACTGTTCCTCTCTGCACAGTCCACTGACACCAGTAATGAGCTGTGAAAATCACACTGTAATTCCCCCAAACCTGCTGTACCCTTTCAGCCTGACAATCTGGCACCAGAGAAAACTGTGATAACTCTGCTGAGGAACTCGACAGGCTAGTGATTGTTAACAGCTGAGGCTCTCACCCCACGCTATTGTATGTAAACTCTCTGTTATTGTAACATCTCAGCATTATCTTTGTCAATGAAAATGTCTAGAAATACATTTAATATTTTATAGCTGTATTTAATTTACAAAATCTGATTCCTGTGTTTAAACAAATTAAGTTAAATTTATGCTTGTAGACACAATTTGATTAGATGAAGGAGCATTTCATTTTCCTGTACATAATAACAGTGCAATCTGATACAGGTTCATCTGTAGTCTCAATGTAAGATCATCAGATCGTATCAGCAGAGTTCAACTAATTAGTGTTTACTTATATAGCTAGAATGTGGTCAGATTTTTCAAAGCTGCATTTCAAAAAATGATTAAAAGACATAGAGGTACCAGGAGAAAAAAGACAAAATTCTATTATTCAAAAATGTGAGCTGTTTGTATTTCTAAACTGATTGTTAGGTTTGCTTAGAGTAGTTTTAACTTAAGGGTGCATTTCATTGGTACTTGCCTTTCTCAGGTATTTGTAAGGTGCAGTAACTGCTTTCACATGCTTTTGCTGATGAAGAATTAATTTTTCAGGATCATGAAATGTAAATTCATGAGACAGAACAATAATATCTTTTACTACCTAAATAAGAGAGCTAGAGTTAAGCAACATGCAGCAATTGGTATCTTGATGAATAACATTCAAAAGGAAGACTAAGATAAATAACTCAATTTTCTACAATCAAATTCCTTTAAAATGAACAGAAATTAAAGTTTCTAGGCCAGATGAAGGATAATTTTCTGTACCTAGAAAGCAAATAAAAATTTGGTATTAAGAAGCAGCGCAGGCCAAGTAATTCTCAAATCTTTGGTTCAGTGGTAAACCAAACCAAATCAGACCAGCTATTTATGAACATCAACAGCTTTCTTTACTTTCTTTCCAGTAACATGAAAAAGGTAAATGACTGCAACTGATTTCAAACTGAAATACTTCATTCACCTCAAAACAGAAAACAGCAAAATTCTTTTGGTCAAATAAAATATTTGGAGTTAATATGATTCTTCTCTTAAATTTAAATCAATACTCAAAAAACATTTTGTTTCAAAATGAAAAAGTAAAATCTTTTGATTTTGACAACATTAGAATGTAATTTTATTAAAAGAATGCTGTAAATGCAAAATTGCAATCATTTGGAGTGATTTTTTTGGATACTGGTGTTTCTTGTAGGGGGACTAACAAAAGCAGAATCTTCTATCTGTGGGCCTTGGAATTTCTCCTCATCTGAACCACTGAAGTGGCACCATGGTATAGTCTAGTTTGAGTTCAAAATTTTCTCCAGGGAACTCTACTCTGACATCTGTAAGGACATTTCCATTGTATGCAAGTGACTGCAAACACACAGATTTGGTTTGGCTGTTACATTTGTAGACATCTAACCTTATTTTTTCATTCTGCTGTTATGAATGAATACGAATGAAATGTTCTGAGCAGTCTGGCAAACTTCACAGAGGCCTTAAAAAGCTGAGGACCTTCATGCCCACAGCCTCACTCCCTCAGTGAGAACCTGACTTGAGAGCACAGAGCCATGTGAAGTGTAGACTTCTCAGCAAACAGAGACCTTGGTGAAGCCAAATTTGTCAACAGCATTATGTTCTTTCTTCTTCTGGTAGAAATCATAATAAGCAAACTTCTCACTTTTATGGGGGATTTGATTTCCTGTGCTTACAGAGGTTTTTATGCTCCCCTTGAAGTCCACAGGATTGTGCAGGAAGATAAATTTCCTTTGGATTTTAAGACTGTATTCTAGGAATCCACTAGGAATCAAGCAGCTGCTGGACAATGTTGCTCTTAGAGAGCCAACAGAAGCTCAGACACTAATGATGAGTTTTTGATCTGCATCTTAAATCTAATATTTTGAATGTGAAGGCTGAACTTGGCAAATTACCCCTTCTGTAACTGATCTTTTCAGTAATGAATCCTTCTCACATGGATTTACTTACAGTCATTTCATTTATAAATTGTACTCACTTTTATTTGAATGGGGGGACTATTAAGACTCATACAAAGCATTAACATAATAATTGGTTTTACATCAACAACATCAACAATCTAAAAAGCCTTACGAATAACTGAAAACAAACTCACCTAATGGCTGCTGTATTTTTCATTACAGCTTTACTCCAATTTTTTGTATTGTGGAAAAAGAAATGAAGTCATAGATCACTTATAAAATGTTCCTGCTCAGTGGACTAGCTAAAATAACACACGAAAAGTCACAAAAATTGCCATCCAGCAAATCTGCAAGACCATGTTCCAAACACATTCTGGAAATGTGTTAAGGACTTCCAGGCATAAAGCTAAATATTAACTTTCTTAATAATGCAAGCAAAGTAGTTTTATGGGCTAACATACACACAACACTATATGTATGTCTCTATAAACACAGACACACTGTATGTCTGTATACCTGTAATATTGAGTATGCACTGTAACTTTCTACAACTATTAGTTCTCATTGTCTATGACAGCATCATATACGAAAGGATCATTCCTCAGTACTGCATATAATCTCAAATTCTCACTGCATTTATCTCAGAGAGACTGTTAGAACAAAAGATGGGGTCTCATGCTCATATCTATCTCAAAAGCCTACTTGGTTTGTGCTTGGAGTTCAAGAGACCCTTCATCACATGGTTCCCATCCTACCAACGTAAATGTGAATTTTGAATTTTGCCAAAATAAAACTGCTAGACCTTTATCTGTAGCAATGCATTTTCAGGACTTGTGCTGCCATGGTCCCAAACAAAAAACAAGCAGACAAAAATTGATATAACCACTATGGGTAAAAAAATAAAGAGGAACCTGTTCCCAGCTGAAACTGAAGTTTTGTCTCTTTATAAAACTGGAATCAGTTGTTTTACTTGTCTCCTGTCCTTAGAACAGCTGTGTTGCCCATTCTAAACACACTTAAAACACCACAGAAAGAGTAAAGGGCTACTTATCTTCTGGAGCAGGGGCTGAAGACCACAGAGCCCCAAGAGCACAACAGCTTCTTCCTTATGATCCATTTCTGTTTCTTTGAAATCCTAATATAACAGTACTGACTTTGCAGAAGTTCAGCAAAATATGCAGAGGCACTGGCAGCATTAACGCCTGGGGGAGCTTGATTTGCAACCTTATCATAGCAATGCACTCCTGTAATAAAGTCATCATGTTGCTTCCATAGGCTTTGGATGAGAAGCTAAAAGCTCAGGAAATAAGCTATCAGAAAGCTAACAGGAAAAATACATTTGATACAGAACACCTTTTCAGATGCAGCTATTATTTTATTGTCTCTTAAAATAACATTAAATTGAAGCTGGGCTATCACAGGGCTGGAAAAGAGGCCTGAAAGACAAAGGCTGGTCTATTGAAAACAGTACTTTTCAGCTAGAATGATACAACGCAGTCAGATTTCAAACTTCATGGCTCCAAAAAACAGCCATGTGTTGGAGAGAGATTTTGCTTTCAACTGCTTGTAAATCCATGTCTCCAAAATCTTTCTGCACAGATTAGAGGAAATTTATTTGTGATTCTCTGGATCTTGGGAAGAGGACAGTTAAACAAACCATCTACCCTGAATACGAGACATAAGAGTATAATGAACATCAATTATTAAGAGGTTGCTGCAACATGGAGCAGGGTACCTCGCAGACTACAGCAGAATGAATAACCTGAAAATATGTTTGACTTTGATCCTAGCCCATTCATGCAAAAACAATGGGTACTAGAGAACAAGAAAGACCCAGCTTCTAGAGTCAGCTAAATAAGGGATTACAGTAGGTCATAGTTTAGGCACTGAAGCTTGGCACAAACTATTCTAATGAGACAAACTTGAATTTTGAGTCAAAAGATTCCTGACCCCATTGAAATCAGTGGTAGAACTGTTATGGTGGGTGTGGTACAGTTTCATTTAGATCTTTTATAGGCCTTTAACTTTCCCAACTTTCAATTTAGCTGCTTGATTTTTGGGCCCTTACAATTTGGTGATGGAAGGAAAAAAAAAAAGCAAAAAAAAAAAAAAAAAAGCAATCCCACCAACCCTCAAATATTCCTGGAGTTTAATGGCCCAAACAGCTAATTGCAGTGCCAGGGATAGTTTTAGGGTCTCTGAATCCCAACGCATACACCTGCTTATGATTATACTTTTTGCATCTGGCTGGGCATGCGATAGTAAAACACTTAATGTCTGAAACCAAGCAGAAAGATCTAGAAGAGGCAGAGTCCCTGGTAGGTCCAGCAGTACCTAACTATTAAGGGAAACTGAACTGGGTACAAATAAGAGCTTTAGACAGCGATGAGTGACGTGCCAAAACAACTGCATTTAAATAACTCATGACTAGTTTTACAATTATGTAATCTATACTTCTATAAATCTTGGGAGTGAAATAGTGAAAAGTGTTATGAAATCTCAGTGAAATACTAAGTAGCATTAAGAAAATGAAGCCATTATCAGAAAAGAATTATGTAAACATTGTATTTATTAATGATTCCTTTCATTTCAGCCATTGCTGCTACATAAATTGTTTATTGTTTCATTGACATAACCAAAGTGTTTAAGCTAAAGAAATAAAATGCTTTATTTTCTCAAAATTAGCATTCTCCAAATCTCACTTTAAAACAGCGCAGAAGACACAGAACTCCAGGCAGTGAGACAGCTGTAGAAGACCTTCTTTCCTGCCCTGAGATGCTGCTGTGTTCCAGCAATTTCCTCTTATTTAATGAACACAAGAGGCCCACTGAAGGTATTTTCATGATTTAATGAAAATTCGTGCTAGAAAATGAAGTCTTTGAGTACAACAAGCCTGAAGATGAACAGTTAAGAACTAATACAGCCTTAAAACTTGGCCCACTATTGCATGTGCAACTGAAGGAACAGTATGTACACTGCCATACATGTTTCTTCATAAAGCGAAGATCTAAATATTAAACTGACGTGATCATCCAAACCAGATCACAGGAGTTTGTTCACTGGATTCACCTCTACCTACGTTGCAGAGAGAGCCTGGTCCTGCAGCAAGTGGCTAATATGGCTAAGAGCCAGGATTTGTTCTACAAAGTGCGTCACTTGCCTAACAGCAAACTTTAAAGACCACAAGTGGTATGGGAGTTTTTGTCTATTATATGTGAAGATCAGAATAGAGGGTGAGCAATGAAGCTACTGTCCATATTAGACAGTATTTGTGGAAGAAGCATATAAGACGCTGAGAATCAATAGGGGAGTTTTTCCATCATTAAACGTTAGGAGGACTGCATTCACTTTAGAGCATGTGGCATTTAAGGACAGAGCATTTGAACAACTCAAAGTCATGTCTGTCTTTTTCTGCAAGTTGGAACTATACAATCTGTATCAGCAATATCTCTTCACTGATTTTGGATGCTCCCTAAAAGAGAAGGGTCACCAGCTAAGTTCTTTTGAGCTTTTGGATATTAAGGACTAGAATGGAATTGTATGATTTGTTTGTTCTCCCAGCAGTGCTTCAGGAACTGAACCAGTGGCACTGACATTAGAAGTTTTGCAAGCAGGTGCAAACATCATACTTTGGGATTATCTACATGTTTTGATGCTCAGGCATTTGACAAAAACAAACCAGGCCAGTTGTAACGGAGAAATATAGCAACAGTGGAATGAAAAAGTTCTGTTAAGTTCCAAACAATGTTACATCCGTCCCCACTCTTTATTCCTTAATTCATGCCTCTTAATCTTCCCAGTGATTGTCTTTGGCATCTGTTGGACAAATTCCACCTAAATAAAAAAGACAGAAGACAATGTAGTATGTTCTCTATAGAGCTGGTTTTCCAAGAAAGGCATTCAGGATATGTGGAAAACATGGAGGCTTCCCATCAGTAAGAATGTCTTGTATAAAGGATCAAGACCATGCCCAATCAGGGTAGCATAATGCAAATCTTCTGTAAATTTCTTTGGCTGCCTAGATGGCCAAACATCTGTGTAGCTGCCTCCCAGCTAACCAAACCGGATACTGTAACAGAAGGATGAAGAAGACCTAAACAATATCAGAGGACAGAAATGAGTGACAAAATGAAGAGAAGAGGGATGGTGTTGGCACCAAGTCTTTAATGGTCCTTAGTTCCTACGCATTCTACACATGTGAACTAAAGCACTGTTGGCAGTAATTTTCCTGTAGTGCTGGGATTTCTGAGAAACATGAAGTACATCCTCCTGGACTTTCCTCTTACATGTAAACTGTGAGGACCATTGGATAAATAATTACTCAGACTCAGTCAGGTGCTATCCCTGAAGTCACTGGGGAGTGCATAGTTCCAGACAAAATGCAAAAACGGAGAATTGCAATTGTGACCCTGACTTAGAACATGCAGATCTAACTAGGATATCATACAAAGCCTAGAAATATTTGTGAGGTTTAAACAAATACTTTACACAAACTATTGTTATTTAGGAAGATTTTTCTGGAGCCACTGCTCTAGCTGAGCCCCTACCACTGTCTCTTTCAGGTGAACAATGGAAATCCACATTATAATTCTCCCGTGACTTACAGAAGGGTGCCCTAGTTTAGTTTCTCCACAGAAACATTTACCTTTCTGGGATATTTATATGGAGCAGTAGTTTTCTTGACATGCTCCTGCAATTCACAAGCTAAGTGCTCCCGGTCGCTGGATGAAAAGGCGGCAGACAGGACCACAAATGCTTTCACAACCTGTAAGACAAGGTCAGTAAGAGTGATCTGGCACTGTCAGTTTTTAAGACCTGATACATTGGTTACCAGTAAGTAGTCATAACATACAAGAGGTAGAAGGAGAGAAACCAGCACAGTGTATGTTAATGGTTGTGCCCAGCTTTTGCGCATGTACATACAAAAGGATGTTTAAAGTTTAAGAAAAAACCTTTCCTGTTCCCATTACACATAAGGAAGATTTGCTCCATGATCTCAGGGGGATGTCAAGAAGACAGGGGTAACAAGGAATGTCTCAGCAGAGGCTGCCCAGAAGCTGAGGGACATTCTATTTCTCTGAAGTTCACACTGAGGACAGTAGGACTGTATCATCCCAGTACAGGGCTGTGCTTTCCCCACACAGGCAGCCCAAGTCAAATGTTAGTGCAGTTAGAGTATAACTTTGGATATACCAAGACAGCCAGAAACAACAGTTTCCGTGTGTAGAAAGTGCTTGATAACAAGCAGGTCTGATGAGAGGAAAGCAAATGTCACTGTAATGCTCTCTACAGAGAATGTAAACAGGATGTAAACAGGAAGAAGTTTTGCCTGTCATCCCAAGTAGGATTGTCCATCATGGCATGACTGCCTTACAGCTGTACATTACAGCAAAAGAACTTTGCTTTATATAGCTATATATTTAAACATATTGCTTCCCCCATTGCTCTTCAGCATCACTACCTCTCCTCTGAGGGGATCTGGACTGCTGACAACAGCTGCTTCTGCTACTGCTGGGTGTTCCATCAGCGCACTCTCTACCTCGAAAGGCCCAATGCGGTATCTAGGTAAGGAAAGAACAACGAAGGATTTGATTTGATGAGCTGGAAAACCAGTACCAAATGTTTTGGCTTTTTAAAATTTGCATAGTGAGAAAAACCAACTACAGCTAGTTTAGGCAGAATGGGAAGGCTAACTGTATTATAAGGTAGGAGCATTTCATGGTGATCATGTGGTAGAGGACTGCTCGGAGAGAGGCAGTGGCTACCTGTCCATCTCCCCCCTCAGCTCTCCTGGTGGCTCCTGAGCTGTGCCTACACCCACCCCAATAGCTGGGGTCTGCAGTACCAGCTGATGTCATGTTACGGTGTCACATCATACAATACCAAATTGTTTCATTTCATCATGTTTGCAAGAAAATGTTTCAATGGTCTTTGACTCTGATATAGGTGTCCTTCAATTTCAGCTAAAAAACAAACTAGATTAAAATCCCTCCACTGCCAGTGGAATTTTTCGCTCTGTTGAAACAGATGAGATGTTGCAGGGGAAATTGTTAGAGATACATGACCAAGATGACACTGCTGGTCTGCAGAAAACTAATAACAAATGTGAGCATTCATAAGGCAAGTGGACAATGCATTTCACAAGATCATTGTGTCAGAAGCTCACCTGAAGTGTAACATGTAAGACTATACAACAGCAGATTTAGAAAGGAAACATGCAAACCAACCCTGAAGAAATGATGATGTCGTCGTCTCTTCCAATAAACCAAAAATATCCATCTTCATCCATAGTCCCTCTGTCCCCTGTGACGTAAAAATCCCCACGCTCGCTTTCAGCAGTTTTCTTAGGATTATCCTTGAATTGGTTTACAAACAGTCATTTAAATTTTTAGCATGTATCAGCTATGCATTATGCTATAACACATAAAATGTTAAATTAATTGGAACTTAATTTTTTGGAACTTAATTTTTTCAATCAAGGCTCTTGAAGAATTTTACTGACATTGTTATAAAATACAATAAAACAGGTTTTAAAAAAAAACAAACTGACTCCTGAAAATAACTCAATCTCAAATAAATTCTTCTCTTTGCTTTTCTAACATTCACCTATCCAAATAAATGAATTACTCGGTTTTGCTCTAGATTTCTCGATCTTTTGGTCAATCCTTACCATAAATATTTATCTAGCTTTTCAGATAGTGTATAGTGAATATACGGTACTCCTCAGTGAGATCATGGTAAGTGGTGAGGATGTTAGGGAAATGTTTCAGGCTGGGTTTTCAAATCTGTGTTTTAAAGTCCTTGACCCAAAATCTGAATTAAAGAATGGGATAAAGTGAAGTCTGGATCACATTTTTTCCCCTCTGTTCTCAAGGGCGTCTTCTCAGATTCTCTCTACTAAACCAGTTTGCTTCTACAGGTCAGGACTCAAAGATGAGTCAGCAAACCTGAGAACTGGTGAAAAATATCAGGCCTTTATAATCCTTAAGGAACTGGAGATATTTTGGGGAGGCTGCTGTTTTGGAAAATACTTACTATATATTCAGAGAACAAACCAAGTGGCCTTATAGGTTTGCTTCTGACAGCGATTTCCCCCTGTTGTCCTGGAGGCAGAATATTTGCATTTTTGTCTACAACCTAGAATGAAAAACAACGTGTACTTGAGTCAAAAAAATAAATAACCCTCTAAACTGATGAAAAAAATCTAGAGTACCCAACAAACCTGAACATCAAAAAGGGGAGCCGCCTTTCCCATTGATCCAGGTTTAATCTTCATCCCTTTAAAAACAGAGCAGATTATTCCCTGAAAAATAAAAAGCAAAATAAAGATTTGTCGCAAAAAACTGCTACATTCACATTCAATTAAGTGTATTTTGATGAATAATCTCAAAGTAAGGAATTAAGATACATAGAATCCTATATATTAGTGCTGTATGGTAGAAATGAGTAAGATCAAGAAACAAAGTAACCTGTGCCACTAACTGCAAAGAATCTGTATCCTCTAATAACCAATCTTCTTCCTTAGCTTCAAGCTCTGCCATTTTTCCAGTCACTGTCAACTAGAATTTGCTTAATGACATTTAAGGAAATATTAGAGAACATCCTCTCCCAACTATCCATGTTTCTGTGTGATTCTGTGAGGACAACCGTGAAAATGCATTCTGTCAGAGATTATCAGTAGAGGTGGTTACTAAAATATTCACAGAAATGTGAAAGAATCAACAGTGTTCTTGAAACTAAAAGCATCATAAAGCAAAAAGGAATTACAAATATTTAGCAGAATATTGACACTATAGATGTACCGTTTCAGTCTGGCCATACACTTCATGGATGTCCAGCCCTGTCTGGCTTTTCCATTTTTCCATAACTTCTGGGTTTAGCGGTTCTCCTCCACTCATGCAGTGCTTCAGGTTCATGAATTTGTAACTTCACATGGAGTTAAAAAAACAAAGAGAAACACATCTATCAGGTCAAAGAAGGAGCAGAAAAACAGCATACAAGTGTAAGCAAATAACACTGGGGTGCTGTTTATGGGGAGAGTTATTCCCATGAAGGAGGGAAATCAAAGGACTCCTGATCATGGGCTCCCAATAAAACAAGGATATCAGTCTTTACTCAACATTATAAACGAATATTAGCACAGGTCGACACACATGGAAAACAAAGAAAACTTTTTTTTCTGAAGTCAGTTGGGATTTAAGCATAAGCCTGTAACTAACCCCAGATCAATTTGCTGAGCAAGGGGCCTGATTGCTGACCCTCAGCAAAAGTCCAAGTGAGAAAGTGCAAGAGAGAAGGTACAAATGGTGCCAGTTCATTTGTCAGTGAGAAACTGGAACAGAAGATGATGTTCAACTGCTACACCGCAGTTATGCTAATGCTGACTTTCTAGGATGACAGCCCTTCCCAGTGGACAATTAACGTGGTAATTGAAAATGAGAACAGAATTTTACAGGCGCTCAGTTTCATACCCTCTGGGATTTGCTTTCAAGTTCAGTAATGAAAAGTCTCAAGTTTCTCATAGAAAACATCAAGTTTCTCTATGTTTGATCATAAAGCTCAGCAAAACTCACACATCTTGTATGACTGTCTTTTCATAAAGGATATTTTCAACTGAATTACTACTAGTTAAAAAGCCAGATCCAGAAGATCACTAAAGGGTAGTTAGGGTAGATAATCTCTTAACCTACCTGGAGAGATCGTTTTGCACCAGCATGCGATACAATGTTGGAACACCAACCAGAGTGTCAATAGGGAATCTGCAGAGAGTCTAGTGAGTTAAACAAGATGACATATGAAGCTCAGACCAAAAAAAAATCTGCTTTGTGGTTGTACGGTACATAGGTGATGTACAGAAGGGGACAAAAGCTCTCCCTTCTAAGCAAGAGCACTAGATACTCTCTGTTGGGTAAGAAACTCCCCTAAACTTGCCACAACAGGCTGAGAATCACAGTATGTTTGACTGGACAAAATCCCATGCTCACATCCCTACATAACACCCAGACTGCACAGCTGGAAGCATGGGCAGAATAAGCCTGTCTACATTACTGAGATGTTTTTGCTTTCACCTTGGCCAGTACATACAGAGAATCACTTCAGATTCAGTTTGCATTAATGCCAGGCAACATTACCTCCACAGTGACTGGAAATATATGTAAGCAATTAGTTCTGCTTTTGGGATGATTTTCACTCATATGCTCACCAGCTATGAGTGAAACATATGAGGGAATCTCAGGATTGGCCCCTTCTGTGTATATTAAAAACATGAATAAGGCTTTATGGAAAGGATGCAGTATCTTGAATGCAACAGTGGACATAACTCTCAATAAATCTTTGTATGCAGTTAAGAATTACTTTTTGCTCCCTTTCTGCAGATTAACACATATCCATAATTTCTTCCTTACATTTAGGATGGTTGCTGATTCAATCTGTGGGAGCTGATGCACAAAGATGCATGATCCAAAAACCCAGGCATCAAAAACAGACGTCAGTGAAGTTAATATCCAGCCTGTGTCTGCTATGTTCCATATTACATCTGATGGAGTCAAATCCAACCAGTACCTAAACACAGGAGGAAAAAAAAAAAGGTTATGGTAACTTTTTATTTTTTTTTAATGAAAGAAAACAAAAAAAAAGAGCCACGTCCTTCCTCCCCACCCCTTACACATACACACACACACACACACCCTCCAGAAAAAAACACAACATCTCCTAATGAGCAACATGGGCACTGGCCACTCTCAGTAAGTTCATCTTATGAGCTAGTTCAGGGATAAAAGGGCATCTAAGGTTTAAGTACACGTTTGTACAAAGAAATATATACACATAAATATATCATACATATATGATGTCAGTCATAACATAGGATAAAGTAAGGGAAAGAACTCCAATGAAGTGACTTCACACTGGGGAGGAAGATAGAGCTGAAGCAGAAGCATGCATGGATGCTGTGTTAGACACCAGATATTTTAGTTCTAAGTCTGCTCAGGGACCAGGTTGATCTGTGTAACCAAAATAAACTCTGACTCTCTTTATCCACACACATAACAAAACTTTTTATAGCCCAAACAGCATGATATATTTCGGTACTGCACACTAGAATATTCCCAGCTGATGGCTGTCCTTTGAACCACTCTAAAGAAAGGCTAGGAGATATTCATTGGAACATGGAAACACTGGGGCTGATCCTACTCACCTGTAAATCTGTAAGCATTTCTAACCTGATTTTAGAGAAAGAGGGACTGTGGCCGTACAATTGCGTATTTCTTACTCAGTAACTTCTCAACAGTTTTACTATATGCAGCTCCAATTATCTCACATTCAACCAGGCTCAAACCTTTCATACCTTTCACTTAACAGGGGTCTGAAACCAAGACTACCCTGGGAATGTTCAGTCATCTTTGGAGAACCTGTGGTTCCACTGGTAAAGAAGATATTCACTGAATCTTCAATCCTTGTTTTGGCACAGGAATGGTCAGCAGATTGGTTTCTTTAAAACACAGAATGCAATTGTGACTTTAATGGTTACTTTACACAGGTTTCAGAATCTAATGATGGGTTACACATTGCAACCCCTATTTCAAATAAGCTTCACAGAAGCTTTTAACCAAACTAGATTAAATAATGTCGAGTTACGCTTTCCCCAATAATAGACTTTCCCTTAGAAAGAAGAGGGTAGAAACTTCCTGGAATAAGACCGCTGTTAGCAAACAACTACTGTTAGCAAACAATTCTGATATGAAAACAGCAATTAGGCAGTCATGGATTAACACCATTAAGGCTTAATGTTATTGGATAAGTATTTTCAGTTGATGAATACTTCTAAATGTGTGCTTGTGGAGAACATGTCTACTTTCTGCATCATGACTGCAATGCCACTAATGCATACTCACTTGTACAGTTCACTGAAGTTTAGCCATCCCTCCCTACTGCCTTTGGACACGATCAGCTTGTTTTTCAGAAACTGGCTCTCAGATGCCACTGAGTCTACTGCAGGAGCCACTGTGTCATCAGTAATGATGCACTTGGCCTTTGAAGCCTGGAGTCGATATAATATGTCTTTGGCTGATAATTGGGTCGTTCCTGGAATTAAGACAATTCCTGGAAGAGCAATAAAGTTAGTTTGGGATAGCATTTTTTACATCTGATCCTTTTCTAAGAACCTAAACTACTAATTATTCCCAAACTGACCTCTAAGATGAATTTGCCCTGACATTCCCAAGTCAATTAACAGTGGAGTAATGGAGCTGCTCTGCTCTCCTGTAAGAAATGAAATGTGGACCCATCTGCTGACCTCCATAACTCCCTGTCCTCTGCCATCTCCATGCTTCCAGGTCACCCACCCTATGGCACCTAGTACAAATCCTTCAGGACTGCCTGCATAATCGGTAGCTACATTATTAATTTATATTACTTCTTTATAAACAATTCTTGATCCTTTCAGATGATTACTTTATTAACCAGTTTTACTACTCTCAGATATGCTCACTGACCTGCTCGCATACAAGCCACATTCACCAGCCACCATTCTGGGATTCGTGGCAGGACCACAATAATTCTGTCCCCCTTTTGCAGTCCACATACTTTAGTCAACACATTAGCCACTTTCCGTGACAGGAAGCCCAGCTCCTCAAAGCTCCACTTCACTTCTTCTCCTTTTCCACTTATCCACCAAAAAGCAGAGTTTGATGGTCTTTTTCCAGCCTGTAAGACATAGGGATTCAAAACAAAAACATTTTATTCCAAAAGGCCATGGAATTCTAAAGCATAAATACCTGCAAATTATGGAGCATTCAAGTGTCTCACAACTTGCATATTAGCTATTATTTGTGCAAGACTTGCTATAGATCATGCTCATACATTCCCAATAAACTGCCATTTTTGAACCTGAAATATTTACCAGCCCAATTGTCTCCAGACTAAAGTCCTAGCCTCAATCCTATTTCAGTTTAAGCTTCATGCTGAATATTAATGCTCCAAAGAAGATAACGCTTAACATGAAACACTTGACCTCATATCCCTGATATTCTGGATGGAGTTGTGGAATACTAATACACAGAAACTTCACAAAAAGAGGACAAAATAAAACAGGACAATGCAGTATACCAGGACTAGCACAAAAGCTCAGAAAGAGAGTTAACCAATTACAGGGCAGAATCTACCTTGGAACAAGGCAATTACACATTCGTCAGAGAAATTTCCCTGGTATGCACTATTATTGTTAAGCTACCCTTATTTTTATGATGCAAACATCTAACATTATGGCATGTGGAAAGAATAAGCACAGCCATTCCAAGATTAAATCAAAGTCATAAAGGTCTTACTAATGCTTCCTACACAGAGAGCACCAAGGGTCAGAGACGTTTTAAAAAAAATAAAGCAAGCAGTGAAATTCTGTATCATCACCTAATGCAAATTAGTTTTAGCAACTTATTATTTTTTAAATAAAAGCAAAACATATCTATTTCAAATGAATTAATGGATCTTATCTGCACAACAAAAGATTTCTACCTTTTCAATTTCAGTCCATTTGTCCAGTACATCACTTGCAAAGTTAAAGTACTTTGGTATTTCTTGTTCACCCCGTCTGACAGCCTGATACTGTGAATACACATCAGAGGCAAGCAGCTTGGAGTGTCCATGGAAAGTCCTATACAGAGGTTTCTGAGTCCACAAGGATTTTAGAATTGGTAATTTAAATATCTTCATGGCAGAAGATGTATGTAGATGCTGTAGACTACACAAGAAAGGTAATGGAATTGTTGTGATGAATCCTGCAACAAAAATGATGAAAAAGGTAAGTATCACCTTGAAATTATCCAAAGAAAGATGATTCAGTTATGAACAGATTAATTATTAATTGAAGTCACTTAGGCGATTTGCAGCAAAACTGATGCTTCTAATAATTTCATTAAATGCAAAGTTCCCCAGCCTGCTTTCTTGTATCTTATATGACCAGCTTTTTAAGGACTTAATATACTGTCCTCATCATGTATCTTTTCTGTAGCTTGGCTGAACCTTATAGATTCCCAGTGTGCTCTTTGGGGCTGCTAATGGCCCACAGCTCTCTTTAGTCAAACACAACATCAGCTTGTTATTGTCTACTTTGTAAGAAGGTTATTTATTCTTATACCAGTGCACTCAATAGCTATTCTCTGAGATTCCTTTTCCTTCACACGAAACTAAAGGATATTTCCAGTTTCTGTTTCCTCACTGTAAATGCCCTCCCTTTTCCACCTGTACTCACCATAATAATCCTAAAGGCTCCCAAGTCCAGTGACTTTCTTCCTCTCCACTGCTATTTTTTCTTCTATTTTCTTCCATCTTTATTATTATTTTCAGCAGTCAAAAGATTGCTTCTGAACCTTGCCAAACTGCCATTTTAATGCTATTTAGAAGCTTCTGTTAAACATACATGAACATTTTGAAGCATGGAGCAAAACCTGGTTTGTATCTGGAAAAGCCTGCAGTCAGAGCAGGAGACAGTGGGGTCCTGGTAGGCAACGATGATTCTAAAATCAGGGCCCATCTATTGATTTTCCATTTTCAACTGCTACATGCAAATTACTAGGCTCATTATAAGCTACAGTGAATGACTGCTGAAATACAGGTTATTTTCTTCCCTGTTCTTACAAGGATGAACCCATCTATCAGCTAGGAATAAATTATAAATAAGCTCTTGATTGAATTCTTTTACATGTTAAATTTCTGTGGACTGAGCAAAGCTGCAAAGACAGTGAGCTTTGCCCTTTGTCCCACACATTTAAGCTAGTTTTGTATTCAACACTAGTTATCTCTTGTCCCATGTCCTCAACCGTAACCACTTACCTCTGATGCACTGATCATGGTTTTTATAAAAAAACTTTATTCCCCAAGACAAAACAACTAATTTAACAGCGGAATTATTTCATTTTTTCTTTGCAGAATCTGTTACAATAATAGTTAATCTTCCTATGAGGAGAACGAACTGAGATACCGGTGACTTTCACAACTTAAATCTTTTCAATGATGATTGACAGCATAAAAATTGTGTGAACCAGATGCAGAATGTTTCATCATCTTGTTACACTTTGTGATCTTTGATGAAGAAAGGAATCTCGTGAAGATACTAGAATTCTTCCAGATATGCACAAATGAGTTACTGGATATAGGCCATACAGGAACTGTCGTGTACTTACACAAAACCTGCTGGAGTGTAAAACATGATCATTTCTGCCATAAAAAAAAACATTCAGCGACTGGTAATATCATTCTGGTAATATCACTGCTGGGAGATAGCAGTACCAGAGATTCTCAGAAGAGTTACTGATTCTTCACTTCTAATTTGCTGAGTGAAGGAGAATTTTACAAAAATATTTAACCCAGTACATTTAACCCATTGCCTTTAACACAGTAGAATAAGCAAAGAGGCAAGGCTGAGCTGAGTGCCTGGAAGTCAGTGCAGTCAAAGAGAAACATGCTCTTGGCTCAGCAGTTGACAGGAAGGGCTGAGATGGCATTGCAGCAACTCCCCTGCGAGGTCTATGTTTGCTTACCCCCAGCAGGTCTGCCCAGCCCCAGTAACATCAGTTCATGACTATCAGTGGGGTTCCAGCATGAACAGAGTTACCTGCACCTCCAGAACCATCAACAATGTAGAGAACCAGACTGGATAAAAACAGAACAATTTGAATCACACTAAACATTTTGATGACCAAAAAGAAAGTGCTTTGCTTAGATTTACAAAGCTCTCTCAAATAAAATGTGAATACATTTGAAAGCCTGTTTTAAGAGAATATATATTAGCAGCTTAAAAATGTGATTTTTCTGGAACGTTGGGTCTCCCATCCCCACCCCAAACAGGTAATTTGGTAAAACCAACAGTAATTCATGGTGTGCTCAAGGCTACATGGAGACTGTGGAAGAGAAATACTGACCAGTTTTAAATAATCCTGTACGGTATCTTTGCTCCAGAGAAAAAAATACTTGATTTTATATTCACCTCATATGATTCTACATCCTTAAGTGGCATCTTTTCCAGTAACAGTAGGTAAAACAGTGCTCAACTCAACAAATAAATACATTAAAATCAAAAGAACTAGGTTCACAGCAGTAAGAGGAATTTTTCCCTTGACAGTGAGAATCAGTTTCCCAAGGGGGTGTTTGATATAGGGAATGGAAAGCAAAACTTATTAAAATCCAGCACATGCATTCAGACAACTACAGTATGTATCCCAGAGGGATTGTGATAAGCAACAGGAGAGCCATGTCATCTACTTCAGAATCAGGATTATTGAACAGAAATTTAGAATTAAAGTGATACCTACATTTTAAATCAAAACCCTATTAAAAAGAACTGGTGAAAAAATTTCATGTAAGAAAAGGTTTTACTGGTAAAATATGGACTTTTAAATATTACAAGTGGATATTGGAATAATATATTTAAAAAAATACATTTTAAACTATTTTTCTTACTTAAGAAAACATCCTTCAGTAAAATTACCAAGCATTTTGTTAAATGTAACCTTTCCTTGAGGTTGTGACTGCTACTGTTAATAATGATAAACAATTGATCTACTTTAATTTCTGTAACAGAAAGACCTAATTATTTTGATTATTATTTTTAATAACATAGTAAGCCATTTTTCATTTCTCAGTCTGCTTCAATTCTATGATTTAGTTAAAGCCTATAGATTTAAGAGTATTGTAAAGACAAAACATACACCACAACAGGTAAAGAGGTGACTGAGGACATTTAGGAACAGTGTTCAAGATTGGAAAGGGTATTCAAAGCTGACAAAATGAAAAAGATTCAAAATTCAGTGTTCCCTAGTGGTCTGCCAAAATTTACGTGAAGTTTTATTGAGAGAAAGCCTTCAACAGTTCTTAACACTTTTACCTGCAAAATTAAAAATGAAAATGAAACAAGAAAATCGAGAAAAGGGCTCAGTAATGATGAAGTCCTATGAATAGCTGCTAGAATCAGAAATTATTTTTCCTGATTTAGTACCAACTGCTTCTTCTCAGTGATTAGCACCACTGAAAATTCAGACAAACATGATTTACTGACCTGTTTGCTGTGGACACTACTGAGGATCTACTCCAGGCAGCTCAATCTTCAGTGGTTCATTCAGCTTTCAGGACATGTCTCCCAAAGAAGCTCTGGTAAGACTGTTTGGAATGCAAAGCCTGGACACACTAATCAAGAAGTAATCAAGAGTGAAGCCCTTTCTACTTTATCATTTGCTTCTTTTGAAATAATGAGAACAGAACATAGTACAAAACTGACCAGGCAGTACAATTCTTTTCATGAAGTAACCTTTTTCTTGTAATCATTTACACTGTTGTAAATTGTGTATAATTTGCACCTTAACCTGAAGCACTTTGTATATTTTCTTCTCCCCTTTTAACCATTTATGTAGATCACAAATTCATCAAGACAAGAAGTAGTTGAAGTTGTCTTTCTCCTTCCACCCAGAAAGAATTAGGGAATATTATAGTGACAGTTTTTAAAAAGAGAATATCACTTCATCATTGCATGTACTCATTACAGGTAAAGATTTTTTTTATTAACTTAGTTATTTGTAATAGTAAAAATTGTTGTAGACTTTTTTTTTTTAAATAAAGCTGCTGTTTATATTAATTCCAGTAAAAAAAAAAAATAAACTTTTGTACACTCTTCAATCTCTCCCTTGTCTCTTTCATGCTTCATTCACAATTACTTGCATCTTCTTCCATTTGAAAAATTGCAGGTCAATGGTAAAAGTGGTTCTAATATCACATGTCCTCAAGTCACATGAATGTTACCAACTTTTTGTCCCCTGTAGCTTGTTCTTCCATACAATCTCTTAGTGCTCTGGGTCATGATAACATGCCAAGTCCAAACACAGCTATGACTGGTATGGATGATGGAAATTTCCCCTCTTCCTCCATTTCCATCAATCTTATGCTTTTTCCCACTCTTTGTTCCTTAGAACCTTTCTCTGGATTTTCCCAGTAGCTGTCTTTGGCAGAGCCTGAACAAATTCCACCTGAATGACAAAAATGCATACTCACTTTTAGCCAAACAAATTCTGATTAATCTTTGAGATGCAAGGAAAGACATACCAATATTATGGATAGAGTAAAAAGCTGGGAAGCTGCACAGCTTGGGGGTGGGATGGTGAAATTCCTTACTACACATCTTAGCTGGGCTGCACAGGTAGTACTTGCAGGGGCAAGAACCATAGTCCTGAAGGTGTGTGTGCTTCAGCTATTATGAAAGCAAATTATTGTTTTTCAACTCCTTTGATGCCAGCAGGAATTTCTACTTTGCTTTGGCTCAGAGTCTAAACAGAGCTCAAGGAAGGAACTGGTAAGAATGAATGCCTTGTCCATCACAATCACTGTGAAAATCTTGTAATTCATGAAAGTACGACTAGTCCCTGATAAAGGTAAGGAACCACTTCTTCCTTTTGGGCTCTTTTAGTGAAAACAGCAAACCCAAGGCTACAGCTGGCTCTCTAATTTATTTTTATTTTATCTAACTATGTTTAAAGTGTTAGTCAGCAGTTGAAAAGGAACTGAGGATGGAAAAAAACAGTTCAGTTCCTGACACAATTAGAAGACCTTTTTGTAGTGTACTTACCTTTCTTGGATACTTGTAAGGAGCAGTCACCTTTTTGACATGTTGCTGAAGATCTTGAGTTAGTTTTTCTGGATCATGTGATACAAAAGCAGGAGCCAAAACAACGAAGGCTTTGACTACCTGTACCACAAAAGTTAAAGGACTCCATTAACTTCCAGATGTAGGAATAAAGAGATACTTTTGTTGCTACAGCTGAATACCAAAATACAAGAAAGTTGTTCTTAATCTCTTATGTCCTGGGCTATTGCTGTTTATTATGGAGTGAGTTGTAATAAAGGACACCAACTGAAGTACAGGGCTTTTTGTTTGTTTGTTTTCCTCCACTTTTTTCTTCTTCTTCATTTTATATACTACTAAACTTTCCAGAAGTTTTAGAACAGAAAAGAAAACAGCTGAAAGTTTCACCTCAAAAAAAAACATGTTGGAATGTTGAAACACAAAAACCTCTCTGCTACCATGTGCTTAGTGACAAAATAGGAGTAAAATCCCTAATACTATTTCTTAGACAAAAAGATGCCACAATACATTATTTTTTCCACCTCAAACCTTTTGAGAGGAAAATGCTGAAATTCTGAGATCTGTCGAGGACTGTTTATTTTTTTTAAGTCATTTTAATTTCAAATTTGCAACTTTTTCATTCCAAGGAAGCCTCGTATATATAGAGAACTTCATGCTTAGAATAAAATATATTTATTTCCACATCTTTTTTATTTTTTTTTTTCCTTTTTACCTCCCCTCGAACTGGATCAGGACTGCTGACAACAGCTGACTCCATGACTGCAGGGTGCTGTATTAAGGCACTTTCAACTTCAAAGGGACCAATACGATACCTAGGAGAAAACATAAATATGATAGCCATAGCAAGTTAGTCATTCAGCTGGTCTTTTGATATTGTATTTCGTGCTAAAAACCAGAACATTCTTACCAGGCAAACAATCAAATCTAAAAGCAACTGACTTACCCAGAAGAATTAATTATATCATCAGATCTTCCAACAAACCAGACATATCCTTCCTCATCCATAATCCCTCTGTCCCCAGTGACATAAAAGTTTCCAGACATGCACGCAGCAGTTTTCTCTGGATTATCCTGACAACAACCAACATTTCAAAAAAAGAAAAGTGTATCTGATAGTTAATGGAATGTAATTCATTCACTTTGCAGTAGTGCTAAGAATGATCAAGGCTATTTTTTAGTTAGACTCAAAGTAATATATTTAATGTTATTTTACGTGTTCAATTAAAAAAAAGAGCCGCTTTAATTAGCAGTTTTGAACAAGCAATGCATGAGAGATGGCATTTGCATATATCTATTTGTTTTAGAAAAAAAGAATGTGATCCTTCAGAATGCCCATCCAACATAGCATTTTGCTAAAATATGTATTTGATTTTCTTCAGAGAAATGATTTTTTATTGCAGGGGGTCTCCACAACGGTCTCCTGTCAACAGAAACTTTTCACCCCCTGACCTTCAAGACCAAAGCACAGATGAGGTGACCTACAAGAAAAACTTCATTAACTACACTTACCTATTTTTCTACATAAGAAAAAGCAACTTGACAACACAAGACTTGATGAAACATTGAAGATGTTAGTGATGTTAAGGAGTAAGGTATTTGTGCTCTTTGGAAACCCTCCCTGAGCTCTTGGCATATTAGAGAAGCCTTTATGGATTTGCTTTATTATTCTTGATCCAAGGATAGGGGTGGAAAGGAAGAGAAGGGAGTGATGCACTGAATATAAAGCCTACAAAGCTAAGAGCTAGATGCAGGTCCGGAACAAGGTACTTCCTGCTTCATGGTGCAAGATGCAATTATATCTTGCCTGTGTGTTCTTGATCAGATGTACTGATCAAAGCTCTCACATAACCTAGATAGACCCTGTGAAGATGCTGGATGAAATTCTGCTCCTCAGTAAGGTAACTTTGCCCTGGGTCTCTCAAGCTTCTCAGCAGGCACAGAGATGCTAAGTCAGACTTACCAAGTACTCAGAGAACATACAGAATGGTCGTTCAGGTTGAACTCGAATAGCGATGTTGCCTTCTTTTCCGACAGGCACAACAGTACCGTGGTCATCTATGATCTGCAGAAAGGACTTACCATTACTGCTTTGACTAGTTTTGTGAAATACTTGTGTTGAAACTAGTGAATGACAGACCAGGACACAGACAGCATTCCCCTTATGCACATACCCCAAATTGCAGTTAAGCTCAGATGCAGTGTATCAACATACCTGCACATCATAAGGGGGAACAGCTTTTCCCAAAGAGCCAGGTTTAATTTTCATTCCTTTCATATTGGCACATATTGTTACCTGCATAACAGATATGTATTCATATTACTTATGAATGCATGTAATTCATATATATTCATATATAACATACATTATAAATCTTGCAGCATTTTCTAGGCTTTCTTATCAGCTTGCATTAGACGTGACATCTCTTCATGGCTTTGTAACAACCAGGACTGAATCAAGACTAAAGCACTGCGGTTCTCCATCATATGGGAGAATGGTTAGCCCTGTGGACTGTGATTGCTTATGCTCAGTTTGCCCCAATGCATTCTCTTGCAAACACCTGAATTTGCAAGACAGCAGATATAAGATGATCACGTCTTATTTCAATAAGGGGATAATTTACTTGGGGCCCTCTCAAGGATAAGAGGAGAGAATGCTTGAAATCTGACTCATAATAGCTTCATTATGATCACTTACAGAATGGTCTGGGATGTGAACTGATTTAATTCTTTCCATCAGAAGCTCAAAGGGGCCAAGCTGATATCCACAGCAAATTACTTTTTATTTTTTCTTTTTAAGTGAAGATGATGAAAAGCTCTACTATAAGTTATTTGATCTGATGTAGCTTCTGGCATGCTTTTTGCAAGGAGCTTCCTTTAAAAAGTTCATTATTTTCACCTTTTCCATTCATTTATCAAAGCACATCGTGCCTTGGGTACTGTCACCTTTGAAATGGCATACTGTAGGAATTAAAATGAACATACTGTTTCAGTCTGGCCATAGCCTTCATAGATATCCAGCCCTGTTTGGATTTTCCACTGCTCCATCACTTCAGGATTGAGTGCTTCCCCTCCAGACAAACAATGTTTCAGACTCATGAACTTGTAGCTTGAGAAGAATAGCAAATAAAATAATTTTCTTAATTTCTGAAAACAGCAGTGAATGGTTTTACCTGGGCAGCTCCCTTCAACTTTCAAAGAAAGTATAACTAAAACTTTACAAGCTAGTTTGAAAATGACAGTAATCATCCTGTTACATGCTCCTGGACTGAACTCCTAGATTGGTCATGTTACCACTGAGGACAATGTGATTTCTCTCTGTGTCACTGGGAGTTCCTAAGGACAAAAAAGGATTTCAAAATTTTGTTGGAAAAAAAGCAAGCAAAGGTGTTTTCTTGAAAGAACTGACCAGAGCAATCTGAACAAGCATGTCAGGTGTTCTTGGAAAGCTGAATTAGGTGGCTAAATCCCGACACCTAAGACCAAATCCAGAATTTTCTAAAGCAAAAGAAAGGCTAAATAGGAACACAGAGCCTGAGCTTTCTACTAAATTAGGGCTGGCTTTTTTCAGGATGAAAGTCCTGTGCAAGAAGAGTAAGTACATCACTAAAGGTGTGAAAACTCCTTACAAATCACATTGACTACTTCTCATAAGCTGAATATTTTACAGCGTAACAAAACCAGTAGCAACTGCTGCCAAATAACTCTCAGCATGTGAAAGTCCTCTAAATGATCACTTCATTCTCAAGTATACAGAACAACTTCACTGTACTCCAACAGTTCCTTGATCCAGAGCTGTCCGAAATCCTTGTTGACTTAAATTTAACTGTGAACCATAAGTTCAAAGGAAGTGATACCTTATAATACATCATCTAATTTATTTCTTCTGTGCTGTTTTTAACAAGACCCCATTCCTGAAGCCTAAATGGCCGAAGGTGTGACTACATATTCTCATGTTTCAGAACATAGCCTTCTCTTCTGAGAGCAAATTTTCGCTGATTAGTTTTCCTTTATCTGAAAAAATAACATAAGGCACTTAACAGCCAGAGCTGTCAGAGCATTATATCCCAGCCTCTCTGCTACCCTTGCAACAGATGCGCAGTACCTGCTCAGACAGTGTTGGACAAGCATGCGGTAGGCAGTGGGGGCAGTGCAAAAGGTGGTGATAGGGTATCTTGAGAGAGTCTAGAAAAAATAAGAAAGTTACCTTGCTGAAAATAAAATGTAATGGTGAGTCTTACTCTGTGTCAGGTGATGTTAACATGACTTATGTGCTAAAATGTTTGCAAAATGAAACTCCTACAAATGCCAGATACATTCAACATTCAACAAAGAACTGTGAATGCCTGAGACATCCTGACCATGGAGTGGTTGTACCAGTCAATGCCACTGCTGTAGAAAAAAATAGTATTTTCTGTCCAACAAAAATCACTCATGTGAATGAGTGACTGCTGAGAGTAGCTAGTAGTTCCATTTAAGATCCTTTCCTCCATCCCAAGGCAATGCTGTCCTAGGCTCAAGGCAAAGTGAAAACAACGAATAAGAATGAAGCTTTTCCAAGTTTGTTCCTGAAGCAGTCTGGGTCTCCCTTCCACACACGAGGCTGATGTTGAGAACAGCCCAGCTGTTTGGTCTTGTAAATCAGAGGGGAGGAGTAGGCACACTGGCAACTCACAGAAAATTCAGGATAGCAGAACCCCAGTTCAGGTTCATACCCAACTCTTCTTACTGGCCAATGCCCACCCTTCTCCCTAAGTACCCCGAAGTTCATAATCAAGCTTTGCTTTAGGCTAAATATTGGACAGGACACCAGTGATCTTCAGTTAATTTTATCCTGCATCTTTCACCACATATCCTCCACCCTGTAGCCCTGTCACATGGTCTAACCAGGAGGGAAAACACTTGCTCATCTAGCTTACCAGGCACCAAAGGGAGGGATAGTTGTTTGGAATGTGGGAAGTACTATGCTTGATGCTACAGAGCAGTTGGTACATATGCACTGAAATCTACCTTGTTTGCTTCATTTATGCAAAATGGAAATAAAGCTCAACAAAAATTAGCTTTATTTAAAAGATAAGCCATGCTTTCATCAAAAGAAATGTTATGCTTACCTCTGCAATAACTGCTGGTTTAAACTCTGGCAAACTGTGTACAAAAACACATGATCCATTGATCCATGGTGCAAAAACACTGCTCCAAGCTGCCTTTACCCAGCCAGTATCAGAGGTATTCCACATTATATCTGAGGGAGTCAAGTTCATCCAGTACCTGATAAAGCAGAGGGGAAAAAAAATGCTTCATACAGTGTGAGAGACTCAGGTCCAAGTCACAGCACAATTAAAGGAAATGACAGGAGGCTTCCATTAGAACATGAAGTGTAACCAAGTAGGGCTGTTTAGAAAGTTTGCAATAATTTAAGAAAATCTTAAAAACATTTTTCCCTTCGTTTCCTCCTGTTTAATATTTCAAGTGTCTGTTTTTCTTCTAAACAGTGCAAAAACATCCTTGGCCTTTGTTGCAGAATCTGGATCCAGACCAAAAGCTCAAAAGCTGAGCAGATCATTTGGAACACGCTTTCCTTACCTTGTGGGTTAGACATCAGCTAAATACCAGATTATTTCTCTAGGAATTTAAACAAATTACTTCTGTTGACTCCATGCCAGCAACTTTCAACAGAGAACGCCTAAGGAAATGCATCTTTTGGTTTTCACAAAATTTCTCACTCCTTGGGAAGTACAAATGAGAAAGATGCTCAGTGAAAGCAAACCATTGCCAAGCCAGATTCCAAGTGAACTGTGACTTGAAAGATACAATCCTATGGTCCAAAGGCTTTTGGTTCTCAGGGAAGGCTTACATAATACTAAAGAACTCAACTTTATCTGGTTTTGCTATAAGGAGGCTATCCTGACTGCTACTCTGCAGTCAGCTCTGTGAGTGGTAAAACCCTGTGGCTTGATGATCTCAACTGAGTCTTCAAAAGTTTTTAATAACCAGTGTTCTACCCTAAGAAGGGGAAGGCGAGGAAGAAGCAAGATCCTATGCTCACAAAACGCCTACATTTACTGTAACTGTTACTGTCCCGTTTTCAATCAGTGATTGTATCATGTAATCAGTACACTGGGAGCAACCACAAGCTATACCTGCCACTGGTTGCAAATCCAATGCCATAACTGCCATGGGACTGTACCACCATCTTTGGAGAGCCTGTACTTCCACTAGTAAAATAGATCAGCATCGGGTCTTGACTTCTTGTCTTGACGCATTTATGGTCAGCAGATGTCACCCTTCAGAAGAAATAGTACATAATAGCTATTACATTCCATGAAAGAAATACTACTTTTTAAGGTTTAGGAGATAAACAGGAAAATGATTGGCCCCAAACTATATGATCTCACAAAATAAATAGTTGCATCAGGCAGCACACATAAGAGCTAGAAAGCACATCTGGCTACTCACAAGTTTGCTCTGTATATAACAATTTTCACAACATGAGCACCTAGAGCATATTCCAGTGACTGCACACAATTATTTTGCAAGGGTTCTCAAAGCACTTCTTGTAGGACAGGTAGATGCAAAAATAACTTCTGCCTCAACACATACTGTCTCCCACTTTGAAGTCAATGGGGGCCATATTCAGGCTCTGATGCCAGGCAAGGTGGTCTTACACACATATTATACCATTTAAGTTCAAGATACCGATGAACTGTCAGACTGTCTGGGCTATCAAGACAGTCAAGGGAAGAAATAACTGATGCCACATTAGTGGGGCACCAACAGATGTAACGGCAATGTTATCATGACATTGAATTAAAGAGACATAAGGCTGGGCTCTAGAAGACAAGCACAAACAACTGCAGGATTAGTACTCTGTGCATTTGTGCTGTGATTGCAGGTGGAAACAAACATTTTAGAAGCTGGCAAGTTGCTGAGTAAGCTCAAAGACTTGAGTTCAGCTCCCAAAAAGTATGCTGGAGGAATTTGTACTTAATGAAGTGATTACAGTGAGTTGGCAGAGGTATGGAAAAAATATAACTCATCTGTATTTTGGAATCCCAAAGCTCAGAGTCATCACCTGACTAACACAGCTTCCTTTATTTCACATAGATGTTGATAAAACAGCTGTACTCACACAAAGAGTTCTTTGAGGTTCAGCCACCCATCTCGGCTCCCTTTGGCTACAATTAATTTGGTTTTCAGAAAATGGCATTCAGACATGACAGATTCCACTGCAGGTGCCAGTGCATCACTAGTAACGATGCACTTGGCCTTTGAAGCCTGGAGTCGGTATAAAATATCTTTGGCTGTTAATTGGGATGTTCCTGGAATAAAGACAATTCCTGGAAAAAAAGCAACAAGCAATTCAGAAAATTCACCATTTATCTTTACAATGTTTACACAACATGACCCCAGTCACAGAAAAGCTGAGTTACTTGCCAAGAACTTATTCTTTCAGAACAAGGAACAAAGTTTAACTCACGTTTTGAAGGCACAGTTGGGTGAATTTGTGGTCAAGGAATGACCTGGCATAGACCCAACCTGCCAGATCTCATCTGTCTCTGAACAACCTCCAAAATCTGCAACACTGATGTTGAGTTTTGTGTCATGCACATTAAAGGTGTATCTGATGAGTAAGATCTAGATTTAGATTGTTTTTAATACTTCCTTCACGATCTGTATCTAAGGAAGGGAGTTGTGAAATTACCATCAGCTGAAGTGTATAAGGCCAGCATTTGGATAATATTTACATGTGGCATAAAGCCATTGTTCATTTCAATAAGGAATTAATATCTCTGACATGGTATATAGACCTCAACAGATTGAGGTCAGGTAGTTTACACATACAGCTCAGTCAACACATCTGTCAAGCATGGATTAGTATTCTAATGTGAATAAATGCGAGTTTGGATAATGGCCACAATGTGCTTGAATTCAAGTTTTTAGAGGGAAAAACAAATTTTCTGGATTTCTCTACCTCCTTTTCCCAAGAATTTCAATAACCTACACCTACATGATTGATTTCAGTCTTCCTGCACCTTCACATGTGTCTGCTAAATTTCACAGCTAGGAAACTGAAGCACTGAGCTACTGAATGATATTCCCATGTCATAGTTAAGAAAATCTTGGATACAGTAAGAACTGGATTCCCTAAGTCTCAGCCCCATCTGCAACCTGCAAGAATCATGGAGCAAACAATATAAAAATACTTGATTGTGTCCCTGCTGATGCTGAATTGTTTTATAATGGATGTTTAGCAGACTAAAAATGAAATGGTTCAACTTCTTCTGAAGAATTTTTGAAACTAACAGCAAAACGGAAAAAATATTGTACTGAATTATAAACCGCTGCAATCATATAAATGAGTGCATTAAAACTGTTGATTCTGATAATGGCTCTGGTCAAATCTTGCCTTAGGTTGTAAACATTTAATCTCCACTGTCTTCAACTGAGGATGCCATTTAACTGAACCGTGTCTATTCAGTATCTAGTACAACGCTGTTTCGGTTCTTGTGTGGGTGCTGCCAACTCTCTTTCTGTATAAAACAATTGTACAGGGCAGAGCAGCTAATTTCTGCTCACTTTTCTTTCTTTTTTTTTTAATATTAATTCAGCAAATTTTTCACATCTATGTATTTTCGTTCTTTCTGTGTCTAAGAAATCAATACGGTTATTCACCTGTTCGCATACAGGCCACATTCAGTAGCCACCATTCAGGAACACGAGGCAGAACTGCTATCATTCTGTCTCCTCTCTGCAAGCCACATGCCTCAGAAAGTATATTAGCTGTTTTCCTGGACAGAAATCCCAACTCTTCAAAGCTCCATTTCACCTCTTCTCCTTCATCATTTACCCACCAAAAAGCTGGGTTTGCTGGTCGTTTTCCATCCTAGAATGCAATAGAATATATTATAAATGACAAACCTTAAAAGGTTTAGTTTTAATCCAAAATAACTCCAGACTAAGGAAATGATCCTTTGTCATCAGTCTCTTAGAGTGATACCCACATTGCTGACAAAGAAAAGAAAATACTACATCATACTCTCCAGCTAAAATTATACAGCATCCATAACGCAAATTTATTTGTATCATTTGAGATTTGTTCCAAAGTCTATGAAGAAGAAGAAAGACACTACCTTTTCCAGTTGTGACCACTTATCCAAGACATCACTTGCAAAGTTGAAATATTCTGGCAGTTCCTTTTCACACCGGTTTACAGAGTCATAGTATGAAATAACCTGAGATGTAAGCAGCCTGTTACATCCATGGAATAATCTGCAAGGCGACCTGAGAATCTGCAAGCACTGAGGAATCCAGGACTTGACAAATGACCTCATGATAAATGATGGTTTAGCAGACAGTGCAGAAATAAATATCAGATGAACACCAACAGGGATCAGTCATCTGCAATGACAGAAAATACATTTAAAAACAGCCAGATATTGGATGCTGTTGAGTTTGTGATGTTGGAGAAATGAATCCAAACCAGCTGGAACAAATAGGTTGTTTGTGTGCCCTCCCTGCTTTCCCCACTATTTTAATTGATTCTTAAAATAAGTATTCCTCCTTTTCCAGAGACTGTAATTGTTTTTTTGTTTTTTTGTTTTTTTTTTTTATTATAATCAGCCTTTTCAGCTGATGAATAAATCTCATATCTCATCTATAAGATTTCACTTGCCAGTTCTTTTCTAAATCTCTCTCTCGATTCTTCCAAGTTTTACATTTTGACTGCTCACAGAAATGAAATGATCTACTGCTAAATCTTAGGAAATGTGTTACAGTAAGGACACTTTATCCCACCGATTCAAGCTTGCATATGTAACTATGTTATGTCTTGAATACACACTAGGTGGCGATTCCCCATATGAAAGCATACATCAGTGAAACTGGTGAGTATTTCCTTGTGAGTTCTATTTTTTCTGGGGGGTATGGAATAAACACAAAATAAACAGTAGGCAAGCAAAGATGAAATTCCAAAGATTTCCATTTGCTTTGCACTTCAGCTCAATTGTGTGCCTGTAAGAAATATATACATTGTAAAATATACTCACAAAGAAAATCCCACCACTTCTTGTCTTGCCTACACAACATGCAGGCTCACCTGGAAGAGGCAGAACAGGTGATACCGCAGTTACTTAAAGCCCAGCTTCAGAAGTCTAGAAAACTGGATCTTTACTCCTGGAATCGAAATCTTCTGATTAAACTTGTTATGAGTTTAGTCAGATCCCTAAGGATCTTGCCACTCTAGGAATCTGTGTCCTGGTAGGACTTGTGTGTGCTCCTCCTCTTATTCCAGTTTCCTTCCTGGAGGTTAGAAGACCTTTCCAAATTGGTGCCTACTACCTGGTAGGAGGTTTTCAGGAGAAATTTGATACGATTGCTATTTGTTTCAGTGGCAGACAGGGAAAAATCAACTCTGCAAGCAAATGGCTTTGTCACACTACCTGTGTGTGCTCTGGGAGCCTTAAGCTGTGTTCTGGGGTACTTTACAACATGGTCTGTTCAGATTAAACATGCCTTGTTATTTTCCCCCTGTTCTTCTGGAAGATGTTTTATACCCTCCCAGGACGTTACTTGGAAGACAGCTTCAAAAAAGAGATGAATAACTGATGTTTTCTCTGTTACAAAGAGAAAACAACCACAAAGTCAAAAAGGAGACTCTTATCTTCCTGTTGTGTGTGTGTGTGTGGTTGTTTTTTTCCCCTTTAGAACCTGATTACTGTATCTGTATTAGTGTGGTCTTATCTTGAAAGCAGCCTGAGTACACAGCTCCCTGATTTCATTAGGCACCCTGTACAAGTGCTAATCGGACAAGTCTCAAGGTGCATTACAGCCTTTGAGATTCGTAAAGTTCACTTGAAACCAAGCCCCACTCACACCAGGAATGAAAACAACCTAAACTGAAGCAATCTGCTATCACCAAGAAAATGGAGACTTACCAAATCAACCACAATTAGGAAGCCTTCTTCCCTTTAGCAGTACCCTCTCTTCATACCAAATTTTTCATCCTGTAGTCTAAGGGCATGAAAGAGCAAAGCTACACTTACACTTTCTCCAGAGAGCAACTTCTTTAACAATTAATTTGGTTCTACTTATCTGGACCGACCTGTCCTCAAGTCACCTCAGTCCTCGCCCACACCAGTGAAACAAATGCCAGAATACAGAATACAATTACAGGCTGGAAAATATTTTTGAGAATATTTTAAAAAATAACCATTTCTTACTAAATAGTACCTTCTTAACCTTTTTATAAGGTATTTTTAGGAGGTCTTAGAGTTCATAAACATAGATGAAAGCTATACTAAGAATAAAATAGTACGTACCTTCAGTTTACTCTACAGATATTAGCTAATTAATTTGGGTCACAAGCCCTTCATGTTGCATGACAATGGGCTACAAATGAGAATCCATATCAAAATCCTCTGGTTTAACCTGCAACATAGACATTTTCCTTGAGCTGCAACGTGACATGACAGGAGCCTCACAGCTACTAAAAGTACATATACAAAGCAAGGTGAGTTCTTCCCCGATTTCAGCATACTCTGAATTGAACCTGTAAGTAGCTCCCTAAGTGCCACAGACAACCAAATATTAACCAGAGAAGCAGCCACCAGATACTTTCCTAGGTACCTCACTTACTGTTTTGTCTGTAGTTCTGTGGTGGGTAATGGTAAGGGGAGCAGGGAGTCTAATTGGAGAGGTGCACTACGAATCCACTTGTTTCCTCCTGTGCTCTCACCTTCTCTCCAGGCTTTTGTTCTGATTATTTACAGAAACAATAAACCCACTGTCTCCACCGTTGTTTTTCCAAACACTACTAGATATGAGAAAGTAATTAACTACGTCAGGCTTCTAGTGGAAAGGTGCAATTGGCTCCCCTGGTGGTAGACTTATCAACCTTATCAGCCCCTTAGTTTAGCTGATACAACAGCAGCCATTTGAGCAGCAAATACTGCTGCTTAGTGCTCCTTTACTCCTTTCTTTTTTGGTAACTGAGTAAAGGCAGAGCAAGATGAAGACATGTCCGTCTTTCTTTCTGCCACTATTATTTCTCACAGCTTTCCTGGCTATAGACAGCATAGGCCCAAATGAAACAAAACTAAAGAAAGCCAAGCTCCCCAGAATAAAAAAGGAAAACAATGTACTCCTGCTGAAAAAGAGCAACTTTGACAGAGCATTGAAGGAAACAAAGTACCTACTGGTGGAGTTCTGTGAGTATCATTTCTGTCATCTCTTACCCTGGTAGCTCTGCAGAGTACAGCTGATGCTGGGGCATCAAGGTACATTTGTTCTGCTGCTGCTTTGTCCTCCAGCAGTCCTTGTTTGATGTTCTCCATGTATCTATTTCTGACTATGGCTACAATCACTGATTGCTTTTTGGGGTGGTTAAATACCAGTCTGTTCTGTGAGACTGATATTGATACTAAGATGGGTCCACACACACGGAGTTGTGACTTGGCATTCTCTGCTTCCGTTATCTAATTTTGTAAGGATGTGGTTCACAGCAATGACGAGTGAGACTCCAAGTATTCAAAAATCAGAGATGGCTTTTCTTTCTTACATTTTCATCCATACCTTTTATTGAAGTTTTAGCAAGTTGGCATCTCGTGTCTGTATTTGGACTTCAGGGAATGGTTCTTTGCATTATTTTAGTGACTCTAATTGTATTATATAGATCTGCAAGACTCTTTCCCTGAAATGAGCTTAGTTAAGTGAAGGCAGATTTGAGGTTTTTCTATTACATTCATGTTTGTTCCTCATGGGGAAGAAACTTAATGGGGTCTTTTGAGCAACTAACTTTGAGACTTAGGTCTGGCCATCGGGGTCTTACAGAAAGTGTATCACGAAAGAAAAAGACAAAAAGTATAGTGTTTGGCAGGGCTGGTTATCTGCTTGGCTTGGCTCACTGGTGGGCCGGTACTGGAACCAAGGGAACCACAGGAGGTAGGAGTGGGAGGATTGGGCCTCTGTGCAGTGACAGCTGGCTGCTAGATTGGCTTAGCTGGACTGAAACACTGACTTTAAGGCCATGGTAAGGTCTCTTTAAATTGCCAAAAAAATGTGTTGCCTCTCAAAAGCACAGTTCTGCACTCTGGCCAGTGCCTAGTTAAATATTCCCAAACCCATGCATCTGGAATGACAGGGGACAAGGAGAGCCTGGCACTGTGTAGCATGGTTTCCTGATCAAAGTAGGCTGGCTGAGCTCACAGCTCTTCCGAGTTCCATTGCCAGTGTCCCTGATCTAGCCCGTATGATTCTGTACGGCTCTTTAGAGAGCAGATGTTACTGTAGAGCAGACGCCACAGCAACCACTGTGGATTCAGCTAGAGAGGAATTGTTTTACAGTAACATATTTTCAAAGATAGAACAAATATTGATGCTGTAAATGCTGACTGTGCCCGGGTTTACCTGGGATCCTATGAGGACTACAGCCCTTTCATTAGTTTTCTGTTCCCACCACCCCAGCTCCAAACCTCTTGGGCTCCCAGTGCAGTCCCACAGCCGTGCAGTAAGATAATAAACTGACTAAAACTTTTTTACACTAAAAAAGGGGAGATTTGGATTAGATGTGGTGAGGCACTGGCACAGGCTGCCTAGAGAAGCTATGGATGTTCTATCTCTGTAAGTGTTCGAGGCCAGGTTAGGCAAGGCCCTGGGCAAGCTGATCTAGTGGGTGACAGGGGGGTCGACCAGGATGGGCATCAAGGTCACTTCAAAGCAAGCCCTTCTGTGATTCTTTGCAGAGATGGGGTGGCCCTGGTTTCTTCACTCTACTGCAGCCCCCCTCCAGGCCGCAATAGGGTTTAGGTGTTCAAAAGGGTTGTGCAGCAAGCCTTATTCTCAGTGGGACTGCACAAGCCTGAAGGATAGCATTGGTTTTGCACCGAAAATTTTTCCAGTGCATCTTTCCAGCTTGCTTCATACAACCCATCAGGGAGGCCAGTCTCACTCCACCCCTTCTCCAGATCATCACTTACATTAATGTTGAATTTCAACACATGGCCTTACAATTGCACATCGACACACCTTGTGCCTAGTGCTTTGCTGGACTAGAAGTGATCATTCAGCCTGCAGCAGGACTGAAATCAAAATGCATGGAGAGACGACATATTTCATATTAAACGCCAGGCACTATGGTTGGTATGGAGGGAGAGGTTACTGCAGTGGAGATTGGGAGCCTTATAAGAGACAGAAGTTTAACTAAAAATGATGTAAATCTCCAAGTAGAGACAGTTCAGCCAAACAAGCAAGGAAGGACATTACTTATGGCAAGAACTTTTTCTGATATAGGTTTAGTACGGGAGTTCATAATGATTATGGGCAACAGACTCCTCAATCTGCATAAGACAGCAAAAGCTTTGTGTCTGTTCCTCGGGCTTGACCTTACTTCACCCTGCGATTGACTGTGCCACATTCACTGACCTCAGCACACACACCAACTCAGCCATAAATTACACAAACACCTTGCAAAGTAGCATGCTCTGGAGGCAGGTAGGCATTTCAGACAGGCACATACAGAAAAAAAAACACAAATCTACCCTGAATTTTAAATGGATTATTTGAAATTAAAGTAACATCCTAACTTTGCAGAAATACATTTAAGGAATTAATAATAATTAATAAAATTAACTTTGGATCATACCAAACATTTCATTAATCCCAAAAGTGTTACAAAACTTCAAATATGTTTTAGAATTTCTAGAACAATCACTCAGAAATGTATTAGAAGTGCTTAAATGACATGTTTCAAAGTGTTGAAATTTAGCAAGATTTTATTTAATTGTGCAGGGTTTAAAACTATTTGCCAAATTCACCCTGAAATTGTGAATTGCTTTGATCCCTCTAAAGACACAGTATTTTGGTGAAAAAATAATTATTCAGGAAAAAAACAAAACAAAACAAAAAAAAGCTTTCGTCAAGCTTTATTCTCAAGCTTTGTAAGAGCCCGAAAAAACAGGTTCTCTTGTCCCTACTTCAGAGTAGTTTGGGACCTCTCTTGCCCTCACAACTGGGTTTCTTCAGAACCAAGGGACAGAGACACCCTTCCCCTACACTCTGCACCTTCTGAGAAAGTCAGAGATAAAACACTGCTCCACAACCACACCTTGCACCAGTGATCCTCACTGCATTCTGGTTTGAATTCAAGGTCACCACATCTATCTGAAAGGCTTACTGAAAATTCATGGCTTGCCTTTCTAGCTACAAACCATTATGGCATCTACAGTCCCTGCAGAGAATTATGAAATCAATCACTAGACTGACAAGCTCCTCAGCTCAAGACACATTACCGGGAAATCTTTGGCCTCAATCTCAGCAGCTCCTTTTAGAGACTTGCCACTGAACAGCCTCTGGGACAGTGAAAAATCATCCTGCACTGAGGCACTGCCCTGGGATGTGTGAAATGATGTTCAGCCCACGTTGCTGAACAAGCTGGCTTGTTTGCTGTAATTTCCATTGCCACAGCACGAGGAGTCTAAAGATGGGACATGCACATGAACAGAGAATCCATAAAGTACTCAAGTTTTATGCCCTACTCCTTAAAATAGGCTATGTAAACAATGTGAACCTGGAATCACTCGAGGAGCTGTGACAATGAGAGACAAAGCAATAATCACATAAGCCACACAGGAAATTTGTGAGGCTGCCAAGAATTAGTTTCAGAAATCCAGAATGAATACAAGACCTGAGTCCCTTCTCTTCTTGGCCTATTCTTAATCACTGAGACGTGGTAAGGGAATGCAAAGGAAACCCACAATTCACAGAAAGCGGGATTCATACCAAGATGGAATTAAGAGTGAAATCCAAATTTTGATCCAAAGCTCTAGGATCTGCCTTAGGTCTAGCTGTTAGGTGAAAACTCCAACCCTTTCCCTGCATTATCTACTTACCAGTCCCACAATATTTAATCAGGAAGGGCCTGCTCTGATGTCTTCTGCCCAGCGACTCCCAGACCCTCCTAATGCCCTTCAGCTCCACCCTCACTGTGTCGCAGATCTGCCTTCTTTCAGGCAAGGTTCAATATAAAAGCATATGCTGATTCTCTGCCATGCAGGGTCAGTACTCTAGTGAGCTGAGCAAAGTACACTGGGCAAATACCCAACATGGAAAAAAAGTAATGATCCAGAAATCCAGCACTCTCCTGCCCTCATCCTGACTGCTTTTCAGCAACAAGAAAGTAACCGAAGGGGCAGCAGGAAGAAGGCAGGAGAGGCCAGAGGAACAGAGTACCAGCTTCGATTTCCCTTTTTGTGAAGGAACAGAACAATGTCTGAAAACAACATGAGCAGCACGCAGCAGTGTGCTGAACAGTGCCTGTTCTCCTGGCCAAATGACACACCTTAGGTGCACCCAATCTTGAAGCTCACATGAAAGGTGTCTCTCATTCTTCTGTAATCTATGGCACTTCCATTAATGTTACAGTGATCACTCACAGGCCTACTACCACAAGGAATACAGAGCACTTGCCACCAGCAGAAGGCAGATCATACATCAGTGTTGCCTACATGGCAGAGTTTTACTATTTACACTATACATTAACTGAATATAAACCCCTGCGGTGAATTGCATTGCAGAATATTGTTGCTTTTAAGTTTTTACTTACACACCTTTGAAATCAAGATAATTAACAAAAATCCCAAGCACTTTGATGAAAATAAGGCACCACAGGGAGGATGGACTGTGTACACTTATAAACGAACACTACAAATACTACTGTACACTACAACAAACTGTAACCATTTGAAGTCACAGATATAGAAGGAATAGTATAGCAATTGTGGCCAAGCACAGCCTGAACACAAGAAAACAACTGGCTTTCTAGGCTGCAAAACACATTAGTGGTTCGCATTCAGTTCTTCTCCCCGACTATACTGATACTGGGGATCATGCTAACACAGGTGCAGGACCTTGCACTTAGCCTCATTGAGCTTCATGAGGTTCACATGGGCCCCCTTCCATAGTCTGTCAAGGTCTCTCCGTGTGACAGTTGGCTCTAGTTTGCCTGTCTTATTTATCAGGGGGGGTTCATTTTCTTTAGTCTGTAGTTTTATAACATTAGAACAAACATACAAGTGGTACAGCACTTGCACTGCTGCTTTGTTCTCTATGCACATTCCAATTTATTAAAAAAGAGGGTGACATTTACCTTTTCTAGCAGGTCTGTTACCCAGTGAGCCACCAGATCAACTGTAGGATCCCTGCGGCCTGTGAATGACAATCTATGCTGAGATAATGACATTTAATAGGCAAGATGGGGTGACTCAAAGACAAACACCTTCTCAAGGCACAAAAGCTGAAGGCGATGTTACTGAAAAATGAGAAATTGCTGCCTGTGTGTATATATAGTTCATGAAAAGGGAGATTTCTAGGAAGTAAGGGGAGCGTGACTGATTTTAAAATCAGTGTATATAGACCAGATGGTCAGCTTGCGTAAAGCCAACATCCAAAGCATACCCACTCATGTGCTAAGAACCAATTCCAGCATATAGCAATCTCCTCACCACATATGTCTGGTCTGGGTAAGTGAAAACAGTTCAAAACCCTGAACAGTTATATATTCTAACTAAGCTTCATACAGGAAACTCTTAATGAAGTGCAAAGGATACTGGGATGTGGGTGCCTCATTCCTGTAGGCTTTGTTGAAAATCTGTGTGAGTCCCTAGGAGTAAATTGTCTGAAAAGAGACAATTTGTTTGCAAAATATGCTTATAAAAATAAGCAAGACAGTGGAAATACACATCGATGCAGGTACAAGAGTCATTAATGATGTTCTAGTTGCCTGCTGCAGACAATGATTAACATGCATTCCCTATGTAGATGTCTCTTATACATGCTTATTTTATTGAATGTTCTGAGTAAGAATTCAAACTTTAGAATGATCTTCAGTGTTTGCATACCAGAAGACCTCAAGCAAACTACAAACTGCAAACATTAAATTAGCTCAGCTTAAAAGTACAGAGGTCAACACAGGAGGTTATGGGCTGTGTTTTGCACTGTAGAATACTATGGCAACACTTCGAAGGTGAAATAAGAAAGTTTGCACCTGCAGCAAAATCAACATTGTGCTTCCACTCTAACATGTTAAACACAAAACCATTCTTCATCGCAGAGCTCTTCTACAGAGAAAATTATATATCTGTAGTGAAAACTGCAAAAGCAGCCTACGCAGGGAAAGATGAAAAGTAGGACTGCTGAAATGACTTTCTGACCATGCCAGAAACTAACAGCTAGGAAATCAGTATTTAGCATGACAACGAGCATATTCACAATGTCTGCAGCAATCACTAGACCATCGGTACAGATTGCCAAATGAAATTGGAGGCCATCAGCATTAGCTAAAGAAGAAGGAACTCATCACGCTTTCATGTATACTCTCTTGAAGAATGCTTTAGGGTCATTAAACACATTTATGTATCAGCAAAAATCTCTGTCCCTCTGCCCACATTTCAATGTATTTTAGTTCAGTATATTGCACTACGAAATAAAGTAGTGGCTTACTCAGGTTATATGCTTCTACGCATTCCAAGAGAAATACTCTCTAAATACAAGATTTCTAGTTCTCTCCCCACTTTTGCCATATCCTTTTGGTGTGGCTTTGGGCAAAACATACTCAGACTCTCTCTAAGACGGAGATGGTATGGGACAATACCCTGCCTTGTTCTTGATAGTGATGCAGTAATGCTTTAAGTTCATCAGGAAAACAGGACTGGTTCCTGACAAAATGTTTCGTATGCACAGAACACAAGTGCTGATGGCTTGAGCTGTAAAAATCAGCATTTTTGACAGTCTGATTAAAAATCTGTAGTGCCTTTCAGTTTTTCTGGTTTTGCTTTCAATGTGTGTGTGATTTCATGTTAACCTAGTTCTCCGTTCATGGAAAACAAAACTGACAAATTTTGAGCTGCTGACATATAAGACAGGTAAAATAAATAAGTGCATTTAAATCCTCAAACACATAGACTTGGCTGACTTGGCTTAGAAAATGGAAAATATGGCAATCCTCCCACACCCAAAACCTTGTCTTTAGGGAATGAGGGTGTATGTAAGATTTGTTCTACATGACCTTTAGAGGGAGGCATTCTTACAGCAGTTCTTAAAATAAAGGAAACTGTGGTCATCAGGGAAGGTGCTGAAAAATGTGATTCTGTTCTTCAGCATTTGCTGTCTGAGCAAAGTGGCTGCAGAAATGGTGCTACAGACTCTCCCCTGCAAGTAATTTAAAAAGGTGGTTGGTTGCGGCTCAATTTTTATCAGAAAAAAAGTGTAGAAATTCAAGAGGATACCTCACAGTTGCTTTAGCACTCACAGTTCTGTGGACCGTTTTTCATCTTCCCATGTCTGAGTCAAGGAGTTTGAGTTGTTCTCAGATGCTGGATAACGTCTTTTCAGGATTTTCTTTGCTCATGCTCAAACTGTGCCAATCTGGTAAAATGTTCTTTTGGAGGTTCACATCTGTTTTGATGAGGACACTTCACAAAATAGCAATGACCGTGTGAGAGGGAATTCAGTGATGCTTCCAAAAAACAGATCAAAAACACTATCTAGGAAAATAATAATAAAAAGTTTAACAACCCCTTAAATTATGCTTCTCTACTTATAAGAAAAATAAAACTACTTATAGTGAAGACATTCTCTCACTGTTAGTATAATGCTGTTCCCAAGCTGATGACATTTCAAGAGCCTCTCTTTTCTGGCAGCTGTGGCACAGCACACTGGTACACAGTGTGTGTGTGTGTGTGTGTGTATGGGGGGGTGTTTACATGGGTGTTTCACCACCCAGGCACATCTTCCCTAGTGACTTTGCCACCATCTCTGTTACCTTTCATCTGCCCTTGTATATGCTCTGCTGGCACCCAGCTCTCCTCGACTGTGGAGCCTGTGATCCCATGTTAGTCTCAGCATCTGCTTCCTCACCCCAACACCTGAAGCAATTGGTGCCAGTAAAAATCTGAAACAGAGGAAGCAAAACAAAACTCAAGAAAAGGCTCTAAATAAGAGAAGCGATGATTTCCTGCAACATCCAAGTGACTTGAAAAATAAAGCACCTGGGAAGCAAACAAAGAATGAGTGGAATAAAAAGGAATTGATGGAAAGCTGAAAAGGAGTCTAATCACTTGGGAAAGCCAGGGAAAGTACGTGATGGATGTTTCCACATGCCTGCTGGGTAGCCAAGGAAACAGTTTTTATCTGTCTGATGAAGGTGGCTGCTCACTCAGTGAACTTGTCTCACAGTTATCAGGTTAATGGTACTCAGACTTCTGGTCTCTGAGTGCACTGCTTATTTTTTAGGGGATGGAGGCATGCACTTCTCCCAGTTCTGCCAGCAGCTACAAACTGCCAAGCTCTCATTATCTAACAACACTAGCAATGCTAATAGCTACCTGCAATTCTGCCTATTCAGGCCAGTTGGTGATGAGATCATTCTTAAAACATTTTTTTTTTGTTTGGAATTGAAATATTTCAGAGAAAAATGGATCCCCAAATCCCCCAGACAATCTATATGCATATCTAACACCCAGAAAGCCTGCTATTCCCTACTTATTGGGAAGCCTCTAGGCACCATCAGCTTCTCTGTCTGAAATTCACCAACAATCTCTTTTGCACCTTCCCAGGAGAGTCCCACTTCACTGTGCAGTAAGTATCTGATCTTCCAAATTCCCCCCAGCTGTGGCAAAACAGCTATGCAACCCTAGGTTATTAGGGAAAAAAAAGCCATTACATTGAAATTGCCTCTGGTATAAACCATTGCCTTGGAATTAGCTAGAAGGCTTGGGATCCCTAATTGCTATGTGGCTTCCTGCTCGCTATTCCAGCTGTACTCCATCCAGAGCTACACACCCTCTCAAAAAACCCCACAGTTCTGCCTAACTGTTCTGTGCTCACCCTTTCTGTGAGGTTGTTATTTGTCAGCACTCTTAAATTGCACAGCAACTACCCCATGTTTTATTAGAGTCATTTTAAGGCTCAACAAGCACCATCTCTAGAACCAGCAGTGGTTTTCTATGGTAAACATGTTGTGTCTCATGTTCACCAGTCAGAACTTCTATTAGGTATCATGGTTTTCTGCAGTTTTATCTAGAGTATATCAAACTAGGCCAAGATTGAGATACTACTACATTGTTTTTTAGAGACAACATATTACAAACTTGTTGGGAAAAACACTGATAAGAGCATTTTTATAATGAGGAAAAAGGAAATTGAAGTTAGGATAAAATCTCTTTAAAATCTCTGTAAAGTTGCAATAAAATTATTTGATGGAACAGTAGTTTTATAGGCAACTAGAACACAATTTGCTTTGGACTGATGGGTTAAGGCTCATTTACTTTATTCAGAGAAGCACCTTCTATTCAACACCATTCTGAGTGTCCCCTGAACAGACACTAACTTTTGTCCTGCTAACAAGAACCTCATTTGGCACATTAACAGCTGGAGCTACTGTTACCAACACTTAAGAGCTCTGGGCCAAGATGGGTTCAAGTGCAGAAGAATCTAGAAAGGTATATCTGGTTAATATATTGAGAAAATAACATTATTTAATACTACTCCTCATGCTCCTCCTTGTAGCAGTTGGTGAGAAGAAAATGATTGATGGCTGGGATTCAGAGCAAGGATAATGATGAATAATAGAAGAAATGTAAATGAGCTCTGAACTGGATTAGAGGTTTTTGTCTTTCTTTCATTTATTAGAATTCATACAGAAACGTTCATTCAATTCTTGGTTACAGTTGCACTGCTCAATGTCTTCATGAGGTAGGCTGTAGAGAAGTGCGTTTGTAATTTTGTGAAAGAGCAAGAGATAATTACCGTGTTAGATTTATGCTTTGGCACATAAGTGTGTAAACATACATGTGAATGTAAATAATGTACACATACACACAAGAACACGCAAATGCATGAAAACAGGACTGATTTTTTTCATTGGTTCCTATTTGAAAATTATAATGATGAAACTAAAATGTTTGTGCCAAATCTAAAGAAAATGGGCAAAACCAACAAGAAAGGGTATCTCAGTTTTACCAAAAGTTGCAAAAGTTGCAAAGCTGTAAAGCACCAGGCCTATACCACTTTACCTTTGAATGTGGAGCAGTGATACATAACTAGTTGCTTTTCCCTTGTCCCTTCTTCATGTTGGTGTAACCTACAACTTCACAGCACAGCCTAGGATGGCCCACCTCCTTCCTCCAACTACAACTGCCATTCAAGCTATAGAAGGAGTGGCCTGAGGCCCCCAGAAACATCTGTTATTTTAGAACCACTGCCAGTCTTTGAGAGCATATTCTCTTATTCTCTCCTTCCCTCCTCCCCCTCCTCCCTACCTGGATACAGTAGTTTCATCACTACACCAGTTTGCCTAAATGAAGTGCTTACAAAAACTGTATCTTATCAAAGAGTCTTAATGTGAGTAATATTTCATTCAGAGCATATTCAAACTACTTTTTTTTTTCCCTAGTCTTCCCAACAGAAGACTGTTGCAATCTTGTTTGTATTTCACTGTAGCTGGTCCATGTACATGTCCAGTGATGAACAGTCAGAATCAACACAAAGAAGTAAAAATATAATTTCTCATTTACTTGAGTCATAAATTACCTTATTCAACCCTTCCAGCTACTACTTGACCCAATAATTTTCACTGGAAAGCTTCGTGCTGCACCTCGTGTAACCCATTCTCTTTTGTTTGACCCTTTCCAGATGTTTCTTTACCTCAAGCATCTCAGAATTTGTCTGAAGAATTTGCTGAGGCTGCACGGCAGCTTAAAAAAGAAGCTCCAAGAATCCAATTTGGCAAAATTGATGTCACAGACCAACACGATTTGAGAAAAGAATTTAACATTCAAGAGTTTCCGACTGTCAAATTTTTTGTGGATGGCAGCAGGGAAGATCCCATAGACTGCAAAGGTAAACTCTCTCATGCACTGATAGTGACTGGATGTACCCATCTGTTATGCTGCTGAGAAGTACAATACAACTGAACAGAAAAAGAATATGCAAGGTGCCAAATTGTTTTTGCCCTGGTATTAAACATGCAATTACTTCTGTATCTGTTTAAGAAATTCAATTTGAATTCATCTTATAAGTTTATAATTAAATATGCTTTTCTATGTTTAGTTCACACAGTCAAACCCACTGCTGGCACAGTTGTACTCAGGGCATAGAAACACCCCCAAAATGATGTATTCCCACGTCCTAGAACAAACATAAGTAAGTCACACCAAACAAGAACTTGATCCCAAACCTGCTTAGTTTGTTCTTCTAGTAGCTCACTGCAATTTCCACAGCTAGCATGACTGCAGAAGTAGACCGGAGCAATACACAGTATTTAACAATGAATTCTGAACTCATTAGGCTCCTTAATATGCAGCTATACTTCCTAAACCAAAGCAAAGAATTTTGCAGTGTAGCCATCAGAGGGAGCTCATTCGTGGCTCAGGAAAAAAACAATGGAATAATTTGAAATCTTTTGTGGGAAGTCATTAAGCAAAGACAACAGCATTGGAATAGGACTGACTTGAGCAATCCTGGGAAATCCTGGCCTCATTAGACCTTTTCTTTTACTGCAAACATATACATATTTTTCTTTCTTTTCCCCTTAAAATGGTAAATATTACAGAGTTGGCAAAAAGTCGTGACTTGGAAAATGGTCTGTTCATACTCTAAGTAGGTACTGTTGACTCACAAGTTTAATATAAATTAAAACAAAAAGGAGAATAAAGTTTGCTTCCTGAAACTGTACACAACTGTGTTTGGGTTTCTTAACTCCTGAGCCCCTGTGTCTGCTGCAGCTGAAAGCTGAACTTCTGTTAGAGGTGCAGATACATGAGAATGAACTCTCTGATTATATATATAGGGTGGACTTGAAAACATCACTTGAACAGGTAAACTTACTTGTCAAGTATGTTTGTGAGAGCCAGTGAATACAAAGCACTGTAACACAAGATGCACACAGCCAATCTCAGCACAGAGCTGCAATGTAAGGGACACCTACAAGCAAGACGCCAGAAATTACGAAACTGGCTTCTGCCCTACAATTTGTATAAAATAACACTAACTGTTCAGAGCACATGTACTACCAATAATGACTTAAATTACACTCTGTTGACTTGCTGATTATGTGCAACACCTAGTAAAATCACACCTACCAGGTGTAACTTTTAAACCACTGAGAATCAGCAACTGAAAATGTTTAGCAACCACCCAAAGACTTCTTATACAAAACTCAAACTTCACCATGAAAGAAACTGCAGGCCTTGCTTAAATCAAGAAATCCACTCAAGTACTTGATGGAAGAGAGCATTTTTGAATGATTGTCCTGACAACGGACACACAATGAGAGCCAAATTCTAGACTTTGTAAAATCATCATTTACTTCATCTCCGAGGCCAGAATTTGCCCAGAAGAAACAAACTACAGGCTGTTTAAAGCAACGCAATATAAAGACTAACCACATGAAAAATATGCTGAGAGGTTATATTGCTGACACAAGCTGCAGGAGCTCAACTCTGCATTTAGACAGCAGAAGCCAAGCACTGGGTGGCCACTAGATACTGCTCTGTGCTTTTCTCTGCAGCTTAGACACTTTTAAGGCCAAACAGGCAGGCATCTGCTGGGGAAAAAAAAAAAAAAAAGTATTTTAAACTAGTTGCAGTGCAGCCTGCTGCAAAATGACTTGATGGCAGTAAAATGGTCTGACTCAATTTTGACCTTGTCATATCGCTAAAATGCACAGCACCAGGACTTGCATCTTTGATAATCCACTTGTGCTGTACATCTTTACTCTGGCACTTCACAGCATACGGACTTTTTTTCATATACAGTTTTCATTAACCCTTTGCTAGACTCTTGCTCTACTCCAACAAGGACACCATGCTCACTGAGATGAAGGCGCTACTTTATGGCTTAGAGTTTCATCTCCTGAGCCTCAATTTGTGGCTCCATTTCCCCTGAAAACACAATAGCTAGAAGCTATTTTTAAAGAGACTCACGATTCCTATCACGATTCCTAAAATTCCTGAAAGCCTGAGGAGAATTTACCAAATAAACAAAGCGAGTATGAACTCAGTAAAACTAGCAGTAGTAATTTGGATCCCAAAAGATGGAAGTCTCCAGAATTAAATTACACCTTTGACAGATTTCAGCTTTGTTTCTCAAGTCTAAGCTGAAAAGTGAAGCTGCAATACCACAGGGGAATTTTAACGTGCCTCTGTACCTATCAGATCTTCTGCAGCACCAAAGGAACATTTTTGACACCTAATTTAATTGAACAGACAGTTCAATAAAATCTGCAATTGGCTTGAAGTCATTTTGGATTAAACCTCAGGTCGATAGCTGTTTATAACTTGCTATGATTTTGATTCTCTCGTGGACACACGAAATGCTGCAGAGCAGTTTTTCTGCTTTTCTTAATTTTCTCATCTCTATTCTCCACCTGTGATCAAGCAGTTAATGTGGACAATCATTTGCAGATATCCCACAGAACAGTGTTCATTCACTGCTGATCTTCTAGAGCTGGTAATAATTAAAATGCTGGCTAAAACCTGAGGCTGGATTTAGATGCTCAAGTCCACTTTGAATCAACTTTATCCTCAGTCCATAGGAGTCCAAGTTCAGCATCTTTTTGCACCTCCACCACTTCTATCTTGATTGCTCAGAAATGTGTCATTCATTTTGACAGTTATTTCAATTCTCTTTTTCTTCCACAGGAGTCAGACAGGCCTCAGCCTTTATTACGTGGGTCAAAAGAAGAACAGGACCCAGCACAGTCTTAATCAACTCTACAGATCAGGCTGAAGCCATGATAAATGCTGACAATTTAGCAGTGATTGGCTTTTTTAAGGTAATTCACTGGAAAACTCAAAAGGCTTGTTTCCATTCCACTTTTGGGATATGTTGTTTGCCACTGCCACCAACTTCCACATGTCCAAAAGACCCAAAACTTGCCTAAAAAACTTCCTGTGCACCTGCAGCCTCCTTGCTGGAGGGGCAGCACAGGAGACAGGGAAGTCCTTAATGTTGAGTAAGCACTGCATTGCAACAGCACTATTGTCACCAAAAATCCAAATCACAGCATCATACGAGTCTCTGCAAAGAACATTAACTCTGTCTCAGCCAAAGCCATGGCACCTAATCACAGCATTTCTATTCAAAGACAGTGAGTGTAAAATCATAGACATGAATAGTTGCAGGCAGGCTGCTGCAGTGAAGGAATGTTCCCTTCATGCTCAAGTCCATAAAAAACACAGTAAATATTGTCAAATATGCTGCAGTGCCTTTTCTTCATCTTTCCATTTGATGATTTAAACAAAGTCAGTGAGACCAAGGGGAGTGGAACCAAGCTACACCAGTAACATGTTAACTGTTTGTTTAGCTCCTGCCAGCTAAGCAATCTGTATGGATTGGAAGTCATAAAATATTACACTGTGTACGATCGAACTCTTGTAGTTCTGTTTCAGGCAAAATCTACTTTCCAAAGCATAATAAGGTTCTCAGGATTTGGGACTGAATAATACAGAACAACAGTCATAGCATAAATATCAGCTGTCAAAGCATGCAGTCAAGAAGTCAGCAAAATAGGAATAGTTTTTTGCTGCTTTTTCAGTGTGTCCTTGAAGCCTTTATTACCTGAAACATTCAATCAATGCTCTAAAGAGACTTTTATTCTGGTAACTTTCTGCCCAGTTAAAAGCACAATGTCTGCACTCCTACCTGAACTGACAAGGTCCCAAATGCGCTGGCTACAGTGGAGAGACCATATTTCATGGATGAGGAGAACAGGATTCATTACCAAATTGCCCTATAGTAACAGAACTGATGAACACATACAGCATAACAGGACTAATTGGAAATACAGTGCCCAGAATTTTGCTTTGCAGCAATCTGCTTGCGGCCATGTCTGAAGGAGGGCAGTTTTCCAATGCTGGGCCGCATTAAGAAGCCTTTGCTATCACAGCGATGCTGGAGAACTTCCTGAAGCAGGCTGACAGCAGATAGTGCCTGCAGATGTGTTTGACTGGACTCCATGGTTTCACTTGGAGGCTGAAATGACAATAGATGGTCATCAGCGTGAGCTACGGCATGTCAGAAATTTAGTGGGTGGAAGCTAACAAAATAATGTCTAAGTAAATAAAGAGCTGGATTTGGCCTTCTATTAGTCACAGATTGCTCACAAATATGAGTGCCAGAATGTATTGTGAGGTTTCAGCATATAAATTACTATTCAACTAGCATGAAATAATCGTCTGATTAAATCAAATCCAAATGAGCTGCTGCCTTTCATCATGCTTATTAACTGTTAGTTTGAGGGTGGACAGCACAGTGACTATTTGACAGATGTAGGAGCCAAGGTCCCTACTTTGAAGAGCCCTCGGTCGGAGCACCAAACGCATCAGTCAGGTCCTCATGCAGCAGGAAGCCCTCTCTGCAATCCACTGCACCCTGTCCATATGGGTCCCTCCACAGCTGTGCAGACACGCTGCAGCAGGGGAGTAGCCATCCGTGTTATCCTTCCCCAGCTGCTGAAGTCTCTGTACAGAGTGAATGCCAGCAGAGTGCAGGGCAGATGAGACGAGTACAGGAAGGACAAAGGGAACCATACACTCCCCTTGAATGTAATCATGGCAAGCTATACCCACTCTACAATGATCTCACTTCATAAGCCTTGAGGGGCCGGCCTCACCTGTGGCTCTCACTCCTACACATCCTAGCAGGATACTGGTTTTAATAAATTCTCTATATGGGACTAGGAACTTCGCAATAACAGCATGGAAGTTTTTTGTGAGACTGCCAAAGATGTGCCAGAGATGCCTTTTGGGATGACAAGCAGAGAGGACGTCTGTGCTAACTATGGCATCCAAAAGAACACTCTCGTTGTATTTAAGAAGGTAGGAGTGCAAGCCTAGCAAGGTAAGGTGCAAAAAGCTGCTGTGGCAGTTTCAGGCTATAGACAGGCATTTTAGTTTTTTTTTTTCAGGTTAAATAATTTCCTAGCTGAAATTCAACAGCTTACCCAGATCCCTATATTCTAAACCACCAATTATTAAGTCACCTCTTTTACTTTGAGTTGCTTTTGGTCAGGAATCTTCCAATCCACATCAGAAGAAGTGGCCAACAAGAACAAATACACAGCAAATACACAACATTTAGGCTACTAAGTAATCAGACCAAGGACATCTGAAGTGGATGTGTCACAGACAGCATGTTTAGATATAGTAAAGTTCTCTTAGTCTATTAAGATTACTGTGCAATTTAAAACTGTCAGCTGTATCTTGAATTTTTGTAATCTATGAATTTTTGTAAGCTATGACATTTATTTTACAAGTTACAGAATTTCAGTTACTGAAGGTAATAACACATCAAAGCTGAGAACAACAGTATTTTAGATTATAATCAGTACCTTTGTCCCTATAGTTGATAAAGCCAACAACCTCAAACTTCACTATTTATCCAAGGGAAAACCTGTGCATAATGAAGTGCTTGAAGATGACAGACAGAACAAACTGGATCTTACAAGGCTAATCAAAACCTTTACTTTGGATTTGGTCACTGAATATAATCTTGAGGTACGTTGTTTTTTTCATTGCATTAACAAAAGCCACAGGAGAAGAACAGCCAGTAACATTTCACATCAACCTATGAGAAACCTCCCTAGATTTCTTTTTTTTGTTTTGTTTTGTTTTGTTTGTTTGTTTTTAGGCTATTACACTGCTACAGGCGGCATGTTATGAAATTGCCTATATGCCTTGACAAGTTAGTACCTGCAGTAGAAAGGGTATCTGGCTATCAAACCATATGCTTTTCCTCACTTACTGCAACCTTTCACTTGCTGTACCTCTTACATTATAGTAAAGAAAGGGTGGAGAGGTGTGGGGAGAAGACCCCTGCCCCCCAATGTAAAGCCTCCATATAAGAATTTAGGGGAGAGGGAAGAGTGCTGTCTCTCTTCCTAAGAACAGCTGTTATTGTGAATGCTCTTTGAGCAGCGACTGTCTGCAGAGGAACGCATACAGAAAACAACTTAAGGAGCTCATCTGCTCCTTAGTGTTTGAGACTTTTGTTTGACTAGGCCAGCCCTAAACAGATCTACAAACACCAGCAGAATCCAACACGCAGCTCTTGGTCAAACCCAGCCCAGACGATGCACCCCTCTAGCAAGATGTTTCCTGGAGACAGGAAATGTCTGGTCAAGCTGTGAACCACTTGGACATAGAAATACCTCCATCCTGCGGAGCCAGGACAATGCCCTGGGCTTTGTAGCAGCTGGGATGGGTGGGTGGGTGGAAGGTCAGTCTCTAGCCTGGCTCCAGCCCTTCCACTCCCATGCAGCAACCCAGTCCTCTTGGCTAAGACAAAGGAGAAAAATTGCAAGTAGGAGGGGAAAGACATGGAAATATCTGTTTGCATGAGGCAGTATCCCCTTGACTGATCATGGTGTGGCATGAGAAAGGGAAGCTTTGTCCAGAAAAGGAGATGTAGGCTGCTGATGCCACCCAGAAGTGAAGGAAGTGCCCCTGTCAGGTCTAGCTGCTGCAGCTGGGCCTCCCTGGGTAATGCTGCCTTTCACTTTCAGCACATCTTCAGCATTAATTCTTCAGCATGTGTTACACAGGAGGTCAGACTACAAGGTAACAGCCGCTTCTGACTGTAAAATCTATGAATAACGATGAGTTTTTTCCTGGAATATAGAAAACACTCAGCAGCTGCTGATTCTTCTCACTCTATCTTCTCTAAAACAATGAAAGAAATCTCAGGGTTATAGAAATGATTGGGAACAGGGCCTGAAGAAGTAAAATTTGCAATAGCAGAGCTGAATGACACTGGTACTCTGAGCCTCTGATTCACTGTTCTGCTTAAAAAGAATGGAACAGCTGTTGATTCTTGTTTCCCAGACATCTGTGAAGATTTTTGATGTCCCTGTTGAAAATCACATCCTGCTGTTCATCCCAACGAACTCAAAGACATTCAATGCGACTTATGAAAACTACAAGTCTGCTGCTATGGAATTTAGAGGGAAGGTTTGTAATAATGAATCCTGCTTTGCAAATACAAATGCCAAAAATCAATGGAAAAACACTCACGAATGTTGTTGCTAAAATTACTTTGCTGTCAGCCTGTCTCTTAAGTCTATCAATCCCTTTAAAAGTTTCAGCAACTATTTTTCAGCTTGGGCCCTTAACAAAATGATTTGACAAATTCAAAGAATAATTTTCACTTCATAATGATTCTTTAAAACACAAAGATCACAGAAACCAACACTGATTCCAGCTGCTCCCAATAAACCTGACTCTGATTTTATGCACACAACTTCTTCCAACCAAAGATAGTTTCAGCAAGCTTCTGGCAATTTCTGCCAGCACCAGGCAACACCATGAAGACTGCAGGGTATTGCCTGAAGCCAAAGCTAAAATCAGGTAGAAAGCCTGAGAAATATTGCAAGACACCTGTATAGCCTTGTCTGTAACACACAAGTGTCTGCAAACACCTATAGGCAGTCACAGACGAGTATTTCAGTTTCAGTTGTCACTGTGCTCCTACTCCTGCTCTAAGTATGCTAAAGACTGAAGAATGATCATTTGTCTTACAAACAACACACATGAGTATTTAAAAAGACACATGGACTATATGTGTTTCAGCTCTTTTGTCCTGTGAAGATTTATTAAGAATGGCAATAAGAGCTTTGAGCGGTAATTCAGAAGCATTACTAAAATAAGCAGTGGCAAACCAGTATGAAAGGAAAGAAGGAAAATATCTGTTCCTTTTGGTTGCTTTAGCATTTATTAACATGGATCAAGGTATGATAAAGTTCACAGAGCTGCTGCTTGTTGGACTGAGATCAAAAATGGTTCTACACAGTTGCTTGTATTTAAGGTTAGGTTCTAACCCACTGCCAACCCGTTTCTCTAAATGGTTATACCAAAGGTTGAAGACTCAACCAGATGCCTGACTCTTTCTTTATTATCAGATAACATTTGTCTTGGTGAATACTAATGAAACCAGGAATGGACGAGTTTTTGAGTATTTTCGCATCAGGGACATTGATGTTCCCGCTGTGAGAATCCTAAACCTGACAAGCAATGCGAAGTACAAAATGCCTGCAGATGAGGTGACTTTGGAGAACCTAAGACATTTTTGCCAGAGCTACCTAGATGGAAAAGCAAAGGTATGTTCATTACTAATGAGATGAGATAAAAGGAGACTTTCAGACTTTCTAGTATGTCTCTATTCAAGAGAGGAGCAAACAATTCTAACCATCAACTATGCATAGGTGCAAGATAGCAGTTCCCCACTCAAGGGAGAGCAGGGAGTAGTGTGTGAAGGCTGGATAGGACACAGAGATATCAAAAAAATAACATACAGTAATGGTGGACATGAGTTAGAGAAAGGTCCCAGTGGTCTCACATAAACTTATCCTGGAGTAAAGTTTCTCAATGTTCCTTGCACTTTCACATCAGTGTTTGTTTCTGCTTAGATACATCTCTCCAGTGAAGAAATCACAGAGGACTGGGACAAGATGCCAGTCAAAGTGCTTGTTGGGAAGAATTTCAACAGGATTGTCTTCAATAAGACCATGACTGTGTTTGTCATGTTTTGTAAGTGTCACTGTTGTATTCAAACATTAAGTTGCTTTAACATGATCAGTTGGAAATGAAAAAAGAAAGCTCATGCTTACAGACCAAACTAATCTTTGCACTTTACAGAAGTCATGCTTAACAAATTTTTGGTGTCTGGTGAAAGCATTAAAGACTTTTTTTTTTCATATCTATGAAAATGCTGCAATACCTTGATGACTTAGGGTTGCACTGAGTAACACTGGATCCCTTAAATAAATATTTGTCAAGGCAATATCAAATCTCAGTGTTGAAAGAAAATGACACTAGAATGTCACGCTGCACAATGGAACATTATAACACACACAGTATGAGTCAGTCTGTCTTCCAAGGACAGAGGGAGAGTTAAGTAAGGTTGTCTGGTTATAATGCTCTAGCATTACATCCCGAAGAGGAGTTGCTAGATTAAGATATCAAACTCCTTTTCCTCCTCTGTCTGCAAGGGAAGCAGTTTTCCCTGCTTGACCTTTCCCTGCAAGAAACCACTGCCCTCTCCTGTACCAGTTGGCAGGGTTAGTTTGTGTCTTAATTAATTTGGTAAAGCAAACATACAGCATTTACAAAAATACAACATTAAATATAACATTAACAGAAATTCTTAAATGTAGCACAGTCCTGTAATCCTTGTTGTTGCAGCAGCCATTTTGTCCACTCAAGGTCATGTTGCAGTACCACGAACAAGCAAGCTGCCATAATAGTGATGTAGGCAGGAATCGAACCATGTCCTCTAGACATGAAAGGCTGGTAAATGGGATGTAGCTTTTTCAGGAAAGTGTCCCAAAAGTTATATTTCCATCCAAACTGAGTATGACCACTCCTCTCATGACTGAAGGACTGTGATCGTGTATGTTACTTAATGGCATGCTGGACTTGCCTTTTTGCTAACCTGGCATGTGTGCAGTGCAAAACACCACCATACCTCTAACTCCTCCTTCCAGTACAACTACAGTGTAATTTCTGAACACAGTTACTTTCAGTATGTGTGAAGTGTTTTGTGCTTCTGACAAGTACCTCATCATGGAAATGATCCAAGTCTTATTTGGGCTGCGCTGGTTCTCTGGCACTCCTCGTCAACAAAGTCATATGACAAGTGTTTTGTGTTTGTTATAGTCATGAAAGGCTAAAAAGAGTTAAAACAGTGCTGCTGCCAGAAGTGCATTAGAGAAGCAGCTAGTTATCCATACACAGAAACTCATGAAGGGAAGGTAGTTTCAAGTGGAGACTGACCACAAGTTTACAATTCAAAACCCTGTTAACTCTTACGGGCTGAAGTGGGTACCACTGAGCATGCCAGCACGTGCCCTTCCACCAGACTGTTTTTCCTTTTACATCTGCAGATGCCCCTTGGTCCCATGACTGCAGAAAACTCCTGCTAATCTGGGATGAGCTAGGAGAGAAATATCAAAATCGCAAAGACATAATCATTGCAAAGATAGATGTCACAGCAAATGACATCCTGTCAGTTGTGTTGGATCGCTATCCCTTCTTCAGACTGTTTCCTGCTGGAGCCGATTACCAGGTGAGAAGCTTTAGGGGAAGAACGGGATGGCACAGCTGCACACTGAGGGGTGGGTGGCTGGGTGTGCGCACACAGATCACAGTGAACAAACACATGAGAAAGGTGTCCTTTAAGCAAGAAGGCTTTGCTGCATATCTAAACAAAACTGAATTCTTTGCTGACAAGACCCTGATTTAGAGAGGAAACCCTTCTACCTTCTGCTAAGTGTGAGGCTGCGGCAAGAGCCCAGGCACCATTTCCCATTGCAGACCTATGAAGTCATTACTGCTTATATTCTACTGTTCAACAACCTGCAATCTGCCTGCTGGGTTCTAGCAACGGTCTCAGCTTGGAGAAAACTTACAGCTCGCCTCCTCACCATTGCAAGAGATGTACAGTCTCTGAACTACTGGGTCTGTTGTTTCTGGAGCAAGTATGACTATAACCTCAATAATACTGGCATTCCTCTTGTTATATCCTCTATACTTTCACAAAACCCAGATCTCAAATTTTTCTCCTATGCAGTTATGCCAGTAGTTTTATCTCATTCAGCCTCAATAGGGTTTTTTTGTTGTCAAGACTAATGATCTTTAGAATATGCTACCTAATGCATCAGCTATGCTACAGAATAATCAGAAGATGCCACAGCTGAAAAAGAAAAATATTAGACAAAGTTACATTCCTCCAACTACACAGATAATCTAATTAAGAAGAAAATATGTCTGCAGCCAAAATAAATTACATTCTAAGATGCTGCCATAATTAAGACATTACTAAGCTTTTCATTTTTCTTCTTAGTCCCAAACTTAAATTGAATTCTAAGACATTTGCCCATGTCCTCATTTAATCTTTTAGGGAGAGATTTTGCTTTCAGATGTGCATGCACAGCTTCTAATGAATTGAACTGTAGTCCTGCACACTCGCACCATGCTTAGTCTTTGCCCAGAAAAGCAGAAACCCATTAAATGCTCATAATAAATGTCAGTTTGTCAAAAAATATCAGTAATGACTTTAACTATTAAGGGGTAGTTTTACACTTAAAATACCCTAAAACTAAAGTGTGTTTGAAATCTGAAGCTCCCCCTTGGCTACCAGGCTTTTAGGCCAGTTCCCATGGCTTTGGAGATTTTAGCCTGCACTTGACTGCCCGTGCAGGTGCCTGTGGTGGCTGACCCATGTGTTCTGTCCTCTTTCTTACTGCACTGTATGAGCTGCTGGCCGCAGGCAATCAGAGATGAGCAGGGACATGCTCAAGCCATTAACACAAAGGCACTGCAACAGCTCAGCCACTTCCTACTCAACCAGCAGTCACACAGGGAATTCTTCCAAGTACACCTGTACTTTTCCAGAAGTTAACCAAGGCCAGGGTGCAGGATACAAATGCAATATCCCAATGGGCCAAGACTCAAGAGTTGTCCTGTGTTTCACACTGTATTGGCACTGCCCCAAATTTACAACCCCTACTTCCTTGCTCTGGCAATGATAAGAGCAATGGAAGAGGCTGGGAGTCCAAGAGAAACTAGTATGTGCAGGAGGAAGAAAAAGAGAAACAGGAAATACATACAGTCCACCACCACCTGGTACAGCCTTGATTTCACACAGGCATCTTCTCTAGCTGTCTGTATTTTGCTACTGTTGGAAAAAAAAACAAAACAAAACACATGAGCTTTGTAATATGCTCTGCTGATCCTTCACATTGTTTAAAGACTAAGGATGGATTAGTGCAGAAGCAGGTAGAATTCTAAAGATGGAATAACTATTAGAAGACTCTGCAAAGCACAGATTCAATGCAAATTAAGGAGTGTGAACTGGCTCCTGATAAACCACTGGAAATGTGGCTAACATAACATGACCCATAGCTCATTTCTAGACTGGGTTATCATGTTCTCTGGCTACAAGAGCCCCCCTTACACCTCCTTAAAGGCAAAGCCATGGGCAGAACACAGTGCTACAGAGTAACTTGTGAGCACTCTCACCTGATGAGACCAGATCAGAAACCACCCTCCTCCAGGCAGAAGCATCTGCTTGGTCTCCAAGCTATGACCAGCCTGCTTTCTAGTGGAGTGCTACTCCTTAGTCTAAGAAAAGGGCAGTTTCTTCTGAAGTTAAAGACAAGTCACCCTCTTATTTTCAGTGGATGCAAAACTAGATGGCTGACTTTTTTTTTTTTTTTTTAAACCTGGAGTCACCTAGGGTTAACTGGAGTTAAGTGGAGCTTGATGAACTCAGACACCTATATAGCTGGGCATTTACACATTTGTCCACTTTTCCAAATTACCAACTCAGTGCTCCTATGTTTTTTCATTCTTGCTCCATTTAATAACCATTGGTTTCAGTATGAGGATGTTGAGCCTAACAGCTATTTATATCAATAGCCTACATAGCTATGGATATACAAAATTTTTGATGTCAAAAGCAAAAATCAACTTTCTCAGTGAGACAAAAAAGTTTACTCCTCCCCCATGGAACAATTAAATTTAGCACTTGGCTGTACACTGGGGAAGAGTTATAGTCAGAGCTGGAGAATGAGGGAGTAAATCTGATGAGTTACATCAAGGAAGGAGTGACCAGGCATCATCTGAGCTCCATCTGTGAAGCAGATGAACAACTCACCCACTGTGTCATCTACTTCAAACGTGAGAGAAAAACATGCAGTTTTTCTGGCAGATTTTAAGATGATTCTATTTGTTTCTATGGTTGAAGTGAGAAAAATAACATTTACATACACTTACGCACTGATTGCTCTAACGGGAAGTGTTGACACATCCTCAGGTACCAGGGCAGGGATCAGCTGCTTCTCTGGCTTTACAGGTCTTTGGTCTGAGAAATTGCTATTCCTGACGACAGAGCTGATGAAAATCAAGATTCATCAGGGAGTATTAATTGCCTCTAGAGGAATCAAATAACATAACTCAAGAAAGATAAGTTTGTAAACAAAAAATAACCTCAAGGCTGCAAAACATTTTATTACAAGAGAATATCTTACTGCACAGGGAGTATTAAAACTGTGTATACATCCAGTGAGTTCACCAGAGAATGGAGGTGTTTTCTTTATAGTCCTTTGAACTTACATCAGGCATAATAGCAACTAGGATAAAGTAATGTAGCACTACTGGTCTCCGTGGGAGTAAGTCAGCTTACCCCCAAGTGAGAATGGGCATCTGCCCATTTCTAAATATAGTCAGCTAACAGCAGTCAATTCCCAATGTCACACACATGAGCTTCTATACATTTTTATTGAAAGACTTGTGCAAAATCCTTTCAGACTTCCAGAGAACGGTATTTGAAAAAAATCTTTAAAATACAGTAATGGTGCTCAGACTTACTTAGTGTTTCTTCCCTAAACTTTTTCGTAAGAAAATCTTCAACAAATCTCCAATTTAAGATGAAGTATAAGAAAATTAATGTCTCTGTTCATCTTCCTCCTGTTCTTACTGAACATTCAAGTTGTGGAACAGGTGGTACTTCTGGACTGTGTATTTTAAAACTGCTTCAGGATTTTGAGTTTCCATCAAAATCTTTATACAACTTCTAATGTCATGGCTGGAACCATGAAAGACTCTGCTCTTCAAATAGCTTGGAAATGTTTATCTGCTTTAACCCTGTCCTCACTTTTTATTTAAACTGAGCACCAAAGTCTAGAGTGTGGGCAATCTGAAACACTGAAATCCTTCAGCTTATTAGGCTGTTATTTCCAGCATTTTGTGTAGAAAGTTGAATGCTTTCCTAATCTTCAAACTCTGCAGGAAGTGGCCTATGCTGGGGAGCATACCTTGGCGGCATTTTCTGAATTCTTAGAAGAACAAATCAAGACAAAGGCAGAAACAGGAGAAAAGGTAGGCGTTTGATCCTGACAATGACTGATCTGCTATGAGATCCAAGGCATGTTCACACCCTATATGGCCCAACCTAAGGGGCAATAGCATATCCCCCGTATAAGGGCTTCAGCTCTTGCTCATGTCAATGCTCAGATGGTTCTTACGAGCTCTCAGCCAGTTTCAAGCATACCAGCTTGGCAGGACCATGTTAGCTGCAGTCATACCACTGCCAGACAGGCATACACCCACTCACGTCCTTGTTTTCATCACACAGAAAGCTCTTCTCCCACTACTCATGGTACCTCTGAGCCACTACATTAACACTGTACCACAAGGCAGGAAGGAACCTGCACCTTGACCAGTGTAAGCAAAACTTTGCCAGGATTTTAGCTGGAAAAAAACTCCACAGAATTGGTCTCAGCTACAGCTGGACTGGTTCTAACATCCACGATTATCTCATCGTGCTGCATTTAGCATGGTGTCCCATCTTCATTAAACAATGGCACAACTGAGACAGACATTGCCCCCTCTCTTGGCCATCTGGTTAGGACAGCTGCCCAGTTCCTCAGCTCTCATCTCCTGTCAGACCAGCTGAGCATTAGCTGTCTCAGATCACACTCATCATTGATTCACTCCTGCCTTTACTGCTCAACTAGGTGCTTACCGACAGAGAGAGGTGACAGAACCAGAAGTCTGCAGTGCAGGATCAGACATCTGACTCTGCCCAGTCACTGTACACTTCCACTTCCCAATACCCCAAGCCTAAGTTTGGTGTCTGCCTCTTTTGCATGTTCAGTGATGATCTGTCTGCAACAGATCTGTTGAATTCCCCCCCACCCCCCAGTCTTACGTACAATGTTACAGAGCTGTGTATATTCTGTCATCTCTTCTTCACACTTTATTTTGCATTAAAGCATAAGTAAAAAAGCCCACTTGTGAAACACTATCCAGAAAGCGTGCTTTGTGTAGTAAAAGGGGTAGACAGCTGACATTTGCTCATACGTTTGTATTCTCCATCCTTACTAGACACCCTCCAAGTTTTCCCGGAAGAGTGCAGTATCAGACCTTTTGCAGTACTGTGCTTGATGTGAAGTCTCCTGTTGGAGTAACTTCCTCCTGACCTCAGAGTATTCCCAGACAGGACAAATGAGAAGGTAGTGTCTTCTGTAGTATGCCCATTATCTTACCACATGCAGTTTCCAAGTTCATATTAAAACTTCACACAAAACCTCATCTATACTTCTTCATAAACCAGTCTCTGGTGTGAAAACAAAACACGTTTTTATCAACAGCAGCACTACTTCCTAACTCATTTACATGCCCCCATGTTCCTCGGTTGAAATGATGAAAACACATTTCATATCTTAATTTTTTTTTTTTGAAAGTAAAGAATTACAAAAGCAATTCTCTTTGTGAACATGAGTAACAAACAGCTTTGCTCTTGCATTTGCTTTTTCAAAAGGATCCTTCAGGAGGAAGCAAAGAGGATCTCAGCCAGAAAGAGACTGTAATAACAGAGAAAGAAGAACTTTAAGAGTACAGAGAAAAAGAAAAATTCTGAGGATTGTGGGGAATCCTTCCTGGAAGGAATTCATTGCAAGAAGGAATCATCTCAAGCGAACACAAAGCTGGACCAAAAAATAAAAGTGAAGACTTCACTATCAGTTGTTTATTATGTGATCTCTCTTCTGAACCCAGTTTTACTAGTAGTTTTATTAGGATCAGTTGTCTTCGGTTCTTAAAATATTATCAATTTGCCTAAATAATACTTTTACTATTAATATAACTGCTTCTCATTTAGAAAAGTGTATGTGCCATGGTTGGTGAATCAATATATAGTACTATTCTTGTTGAACAAAAAATGTAGCAGGTTTGCAAACAGCTAATCTCCCTTTAAAACAGTAGGGCTGTGACAGGGTAAACTGGAAAGCAACTGCTCCTTGAAGCTAGAGGCTGTGCACAAAGTGGCACCAGTGGGCAGTTTGTGTTTATTTTGCTCATTATCAAGCAGCAGAAGATGGAGAAATTATAATAAAATTTAATTCCAGTAAGAAAACCACTATACCTAATACACAAAGTCACTGGTATGATCCACGTTTCAGTTAGGAGAGGTCCCCTTACCACCCCGTGCAAGTTACACAACTGCAGCTAGTGAAACTGCTGGACAACAGTCATTTCTCCCTGCAAAGTCCAGATAAAGCAGAAGTAAGTCGAAAAATTTGAAACCTTTTCTTGCAGAATTAGAGAGGGAAGATCATTTATTAATCATCCATTTCAAAAACAGACTTCTAACATCTTTGTTCCCAACTTGTTAATGCCAATAAGCTATATTCCTATGTAAGCAGAGGGAAAGAAAAGGTGAAAATGTAGGAAATGAGGGAGGATTAGTCACTGCAGTAAAGAACACAGCACTGGAAGAACAGTGGTGATCTCCTGCCTCACCTCTCTGATGAAAGTCAGCAAGAGATGGACAATTTTGAACTACTGGACCTCCTACATTTTACAGCTATTTGCTAGAAAGCGTAGTTCAGAACAGATGGTTTGTTTGCCAGCCAGGCTGCAATGTGTAATTAAATACCCACACTTACAGATTTAAGATGAAATATCAACTTCTCTTTACTTCACAGCTCTTGCAAACAAATAGCACTCAACATGCAATGCTTTCACCTCATGTGGCTGTTAGTTGGCCTTCAGTGATGAAGTGTTAATAACAAGGAGACAGAAAGTAAAACAGTTTATGTCAACGCTTCCCAGGCACACTTTAATCTCTGCTGGAGCTAATCTTCATTGGGACTGCAATTAAATCCTCTTAATCTGCCACTTGTAGAAGCATGTTCCATGCAAGATCACCATTCCTAAGAGGATCTGCCTGGGTTTTGTAGCTGGACCCACTTGGACCTACTTTATTGAGCAGTTTTAAGAGTACCTGAAATAGGCAAACATCACCAGAGGGTCAGATGGGCTCCACACACTGGTGTTTCTGCAAGCTGCAGCTCCCTCCTCTGTCACAGCAACATCACCTCAAGGTCAAAAGGGAGCCTCTCCCAGCTCCAGGTGGTGGTGCCCTGGTGCCCACCTGTGTGGCTGCTGCAGGCTCCTATACCTAAGTTTCCCTCAGCCATGAAGTTTCAGACTTGAGTAAATCTCAAGCTGTTATCTAGTACTGTACAGATAACAAAACTGTTTCAGGCAAATGATAAACAGACAGGTTATTTGTAAAATTGGTCAAATACCTGCTCCTTCTCTGTACAATTATTTCAGATAGTCTGTATCTGTACCCTTTTTCTTGAAAGACCAATGAAGAATGCAAGCTAAACAGACCCTGGGGCTGCTCGTGCAGAAAGGAACCCAACAGCATCAGTATATACACCATTAGAACCCCTCAGGACACCCCCCAAACCATTGGGACAAGTGTCACTCCCCACAGCCGAGAAGGCAAAGCAGATTCCTGGCAGCAAAGCCATTCAGACTCCCCATAATTTCAGCATGGCCAAGACCTCACCCAGCCTATACAGCAGGAGACCACAAATGGTCACCATGCCTGGCAATGTCCCTTGGTACTTTAACCACCCCCTGCACTTCAGAATAGAGGCTCACCCATCTAAGCTTCTCCACTGGAAGCACATCAGGGCATTCAAGGTCCTTGCACTGTCCCAGTCCCTTCCTGAAGTCAGTCCCATCACCCAGCCAGCTGGTTACATGGCAAACTGCAAGCACAGGAAAATTCACAGCGTGTGCATGCTCTACTTCCCTAAACTTCATGAAGATATTTTTGAAGATTCAAATATTCAAATTTACTTTTTGCCCCAAATTCTTTGGCAAAATGTTTTCATTTCTTACATTTCAAAAGCCACTAAAGATAGCAATATCTAAAACTGGAAACTGCAGCTTAAGTCATGAGAGCAGATCTGAGAAATGCAGCCCACTCCTTTGCTTCTAATTGTGAACCACAGCTGAGCTATTATTTAAAGCAAAATTCTTCCTCAAAGTTGCCAAGTACCATTTAATTCTCATGCTTTAAGGACAGAACAAGTTTCTGATAGAACTGCAACACAGCGCAGGTCAAATCGAAGTCTCGCTTAGCAGCAACAAGAAACCACAGGATCCCAGATACCGGGGTGCTGGTTCAGAAGATACCAGCCTCTTTGCCATCGGTGGCAGCTCCCATCCCAGCCGGGCAGCGTGGGATGCAGTTAACACCAGGTGCTTCTCAGCACCATTGTAGAGAGGACTTTGATTTACAAAATCAAACATGACACAAACAGTTCTAGCACTAAGTATGCCAAAGCTGTTTTAATTACACACAAGTGAAGAAGTCAGTTCTCCTCTGCACCTCAAACAAGTTCTCTGGGACACTGCCAGTAGGGCCCTGCATAAAGTAAACGTGCTCACTGCTGGACATGGGGCTTCATTCAACACTGGGCATTTGCTAACGAACAGAAGCCCTTACCTGATATCCTGGGAGATCAGATTAGAGAGTGAATGAGACAAACTGAATCCAGAAGAGGAAGTGTCAGCGTGCCTTCCCTTTTCTGCTCTCAGCATGATGAAATTTGAATGGCAAGCAGCATCACCAATCTATTTTGAACAACTATTAAACACAGAAGCTATAATCTTTTAATTAGTTTCTCCACAGAAAAACACAGCAAGCAATGTTCAGCACCAGTCTATCTGGCAGATTGGTTTACCATTCAAGATAATGAAAAAAAATTAATTTTCACTGCTCCTACTCACTGTATGTGAGGCTCAATCCAGAAGCTGCTATCTATCCTATTACAAGGTGCACGATTACATATTAATGAAAACATGTGCCATCTCGGCAGATGATGGTCTCATTTCTATTCCAGCCACTCTCAGATGTTGTATAAAGACAAGGGGCCAAGTGCGGACTCACCTGCCATGCCCTGGTGCATGGAAAGAGGTACAAATCTACTTGATGGAGCATCTGGTAAAAGACTGCCTGCCAGACACGGTCCTCCTGTGGTGTGACGTCTGTCTCATTCCCAGCTGGGCTGGGTTCCTCCGGCCCTGGACCACAACAGGATGTGCCCTCAGTGCCCACACATGGCCTTGCCTGGTCCTTTTCCCTCTGACCCAAGTCAGCTCCAAAAGATTTTACTGGAACCAAAATTTAAACCAGATTCAGCTGATCCACTAACTCACTTCCCCTACAATGCCAACCTCTGCCAGTTTAATAAACAAAACTTGCAGCTGTCTCTATGGTGGCTCCTCAACTGGCACAAGCAGAGTTGAGTCCCAGAAATTTAAAACTGAATCACTTTCTCAAGCTTTACTAAGTTAAACGCTATTTTACTTTAGACTAAGCAGGAGAGCATTTCATCGTAACTGTGCTCAGACATTCTAAAAATTATTTAAATCCATGAAAAAAAAAATCAATGTTTATTAATCAAATTTGTTCCTGTAAATGAGTATCAGTGAGCACACAAATATCACTGGTTTTTAATCATTTGAGAAATTTCCCCATGCACATAAATAAGCCCTATCAATTAGAACTGACAGGACTAAGTAAAGAGATATCAATGTGCACCATCTATGGAGCTCATTTAATCTGTAGCACCAAGATGGTTTGGAGCCGTGGAAACAAAACTCTCAGCTAGGAATCTTATTTATAAAAGCATTCAAAAGCAGTGTGATATAAAAGCATTCAAAAACAGTGTGAAGCATAGCAAAGATTAATATTTTTTAAAGGGGGTTCAATGTGAACTTTCCCCAAGAAATGTTCACTTTTTTTTCTTTTTTTTTTTTTTTTTTTTTTTTTTTTTTTTTTTTAACACTAAATGGCCACCTATTCAGCCCTAAAATACAAGTTTTGAACACCTTGCAGATTGGCAATTCATCTCATTAAGTTCTCTTCTCAAATCCTAAGGAAGAAAAACATGATTCAGAATGACAATCATCCATAAACACTCAGATGCACAGTGAAAACAATCAGTCCTAAAGAGAACTGCAATAAGTCTTTTCGTCTCTACTACAGCTTCATCCTAGCTTAAGTCTCCTGGAATTACTCTCAGCTGGCATCAGCATACCAACAGAAACAGAACCACTGTACATTAGAAGAGATTAATCCAAATGCACAATTGCACTGTCTGTTCAGAAGGTTGGTTTTGGTAGAAATGTACCTGCTATACCCTTGACGACTGATGGGATAGCCAAAAGGAAGGGCTAAATCCAGAATCTCAGACATTTAATTCAAAGAGTTGGATTGCCAAGCTTCGTGTTAGGAAGCCTTTAACTCTGCCTTGCCTTTCTCTCACGCTTACTTCTGATAACAAAGAGGGGAGACAGCTCCAAGAGTATAATGCCTTTATACAGGAATATTAACAAAAGTGGACAATTCATCCTTTACTAAAAATTTTATTGTGTTAACCCAAGTGGAGCGTAGCTAATGGAAATCACTAGTTCAGCTCACATCTGAAAACCATGGTTGGCTATCATCAGCTGTGATAAGAGGGAAGGAGCTAGCATTCATTTAAATGCCGAATTTCGGAAACACTTTAAATCCATCTGTGCCCTGGGCTTCTGGTTACACCACTGCTTCTGTGCACCCAGAGAGCTATACAGTCTTCAGATCATCCACACAAGTTTGGGTCCAATTCTGGGGGTTTCCAGGTGGATTTCACTGCTCACATTTCACTCTAGGTTCACTACGTTTGGGGACTAGTGTGACAAAGGCCAGGCAAAATTCTGCTGTTTCATTAATCTCGGAGAGTCGGCTGTTTCACATGGCACACTATTGGATCCAGATGGACACACCTCCCTGCCGTGTCCTCAGCTCCCAGGTTCACCTTGGAAAGTATTTGCTCTACGTGAAACATTAGCAGGGCTAGCACCACGCCAGCCCTGCTGCCCACTCCTGGCAGGACGAGGGGGCACAGGCTCCTGACCCACAGGTGATGGGCAGCAGCTATGCCAAGGCTGAGGGATTTACTGAACTGGGACCCCGTGCTTCACATGGCTGCATTTGTGCATCAGCGCTTACCCACCATGCAGAGAACAAGCAACTAAAGCATCATTTTCTCCACCTCCCCAGCAAGTCAAACCTTGCTGCATTTCATTTCAGCTCTCCTGGGCAAATACATGTTACCAATAGCTGCAGCCAGTGAATAATAAATATTAATAAAGCGTTTAATTGGAATCTTATTGAAAAGCACTTTCACTGGCACAGCTGGTAAGAGCCCCCTCGAACAAATGCCGTCTGCTTGCCAAGTACAACATAGGCAGAACTGTAATTAGAGGCTATGGTACGCACATGTGCAAACATCACCGCTCAAGCATGAGCTTTTCAAAGCATGTATTTAACAGACCGCAACAATATGGGGCTTCTACCTAATTTTCCTTTCCCTGGCCTTGTTTTTGAGCAGGTGCTGATTATTTCTCCTCTTCAGAGGCAGAACTCCCGGTTCACAAGCTGAGCTGCCTTCTTTATAGAGTTGGAGCAGGCTCTAGCTGTGAAGGTAGGATTTCTCCCTGCAGGACTGCCTAACCACCACTGGACTAAGTGCAGCAGTCCCACGGCCCCAGCATTCACAGCCAGGAGCCCAGGCTTCTCACCAGAGATGGGGATTTCACTTCCAGTTGAGGTAGCTGGTTGTGGCTCTTTTCCTTACTTAACTGAGGCAAAAAGAGGCTTGGCTCCTTAACCCATGTCCTCTTAAGTCCATCTCTGTATTTTGCACTGCAAGTTCTGTGCACTACCACTTACTTCAGCACTGAGTTTGAACCTGTGTGTCTTTCTTGCTCAGATGCCTTTTGCAAGTTTAAGGGGAAAAAAAAGCTCTGCTGAAGGTGAAGTGAAAATTCCTTGACTTCAGTGGACCAAGGCAACCACAGCTGCATGGAGGACTCTGATCACATTGCAACAATCTGTATTGCTGTTTTACCCAGGCTGTACAGCAGCAAGTGCCTCTCAGAATACTTGGTTTTATGTGTGGCGACTACAGCCTTTGTAAGAGCTAAGGGTGGGATTTAACAACCTTCCCAGTCACATTAACTATATGCCTTTATGCTACTTTTTCTAGTCCTTAATAATTTCCCCTGTAATCCTTTATTAAGGCTCAGTGAAGGAAGAGACTTGGACACTCTAGTCCACACTTGATTGACGTGCTTTGCTGTAAATCCATCTGTTTATTTGCTCAGAAGAAACCCTTGAACTAAGATTCTGGCTGACATAAGAATTCATCAGAACATTTCCTCAGAGGGCACATCGGGGTGGAAATGTGAAGGATATGCTCCTCAGCAACCAGGGGACTTCATACTGGGTGGGGAAGATGGCTTTTTGTTGGGTAGTCATTGCTGAAAGTGAATGGTAGTTTGTGATATGTGAAAAGAAAATCCATCTGGATAAACTAATGTCTTCATTTTTGAAATTCATTTCATTTTGTGACCTGAAGTCTCTTCTTTCAGCTGACAGCCACTGAGGTTTTTGTTTTTGAATGATCAAATCTTTGCATGCAAATATTAATTCTTACTGGAATCACTCAAAGGACTTTTCCAAATCCATTTACTCTTTTACAACCTGGCTCCTAGTAACGTATTCAAGCTAGTATTGACAACATTTCAGTCATACAGACAGATGAGAAATGAGGCCGTATGACTTCGGGAACAAAAAAAAAAAATCACTGAGTGGTAAACAATACAAATTTAAGGCAGTCATTCAGCACAAGATTTGGAAGTGTCAGAAAAGCTAACCAGGCAGTGCATAAGTGCGTGAACTGGCAAGTAAAAAGGACACAAGAGTAAGTCTAACTTCCCAGGAAGCCAGTGCATCTAGTTTCCTCATTAGCAATGCCCAAAGCACATCTGACTGCTCCATTAATGCCACCTGCTGGTAAACTGCAAGATCTTGTTCCTCTGTGGTGACGGGAAGGGAAGAGACCTACTGGGCAGCCCCTGTGAGGACCCTGAGGATCCCACCCCTGTATTTGCATAACAGAAGTGTTCAACAAAGATTTACCAGATCATTCACATCCATATGTAACACCAAGCTCTAGCACTGCTGGAAAGATCAGCTGTGCACTAAGTACATTTTTTTTTCTTAAACTAAAACACTGAGACAAAAGAAAAATATTTCTGAAACAAACAAAAAAAAAAAAAAGAAAAAAAAGGGTTCAAAAATCTTTCAGTAGTGTCTTCCTGAATGGTATTAAAATGCCTAATTCTACAAATGTAAAACAACTGAACACATGAAGATGTGCTACACGTGGGAAACGTCTCTGGACTTTTTGGAGCTTTCAGGAGCAGCAGAATTTCCAGCTGATGGTTCTTCTCCATCTTATCGATTTGTTGATTTTTACATTCCTGTTGTAGGAGAGCTTTGATGACTACAGCAACAGGTCAGACATGCTCTTCAACTGATGAAGCTAAGCTGATTAATACATGTTGAAGACCAGATCATTATTTTTAGTTAATTTGACTTGGTATTTCTACACGAACGCACGCAGTATGAGGAATAAAATGGATGAGCTAGAAGTACTGGCCCAGTCCCGCAACTACGACATCATCGGCATAAGCGAAACCTGGTGGGATGAGTCCTGTGACTGGGGTGTTGCGATAGATGGTTACAGGCTCTTCAGGAGGGACAGGCAGGGTAGGCGAGGTGGTGGGGTGGCGATGTATGTGAAGCAGGGGCTGGACTGTGTGGAACTTCAGGTCGGCGATGGCAAAGTTGAGAGCCTCTGGGTAAGGATCAAGGGACAAACGAATAAAGGGGATGTCGTTGTGGGAGTCTATTACAGACCGCCTGGCCAGGACGATATAGCCGATAACTTATTCTTTACAGAACTAAGAGAGGCCTCGAGATTAACTCCCCTTGTCCTTATGGGGGACTTCAACTTGCCTGACGTTAACTGGGAGTGCCACACGGCTGACACGAGCAAGTCCGGGAGGTTCATGAAGCATCTAGATGATAACTTCTTGGTGCAGGTGCTAACGGAGCCAACTAGGAAAGGTGCCCTCCTAGACCTGCTGCTAGAAAACAGAGAGGGTCTGGTGGGAGATGTGGTGATTGGTGGCCACCTCGGTCATAGCGACCATGAAGTGGTTGAGTTCAAAATTTACGGTGACAGAAGGAAAAGTGCCACCAAAACCTCATCCCTAGATATGGGGAAAGCGGACTTCAGGCTGCTCAGGGAACTAGTCAGCAAGGTCCCCTGGGAAACTGCTCTTGAAGGCCTCGATGTCCACCAGTGCTGGTCATTCTTTAAGCGATGCCTCCTAGAAGCACAAGATCAGGCAATTCCTAAATATCGCAAGTCAGGCAGGTGCGGCAGGAGGCCGGCGTGGCTGACCAGGAACATTCTAATGGAGATTAGACGGAAACAGAGAGTGTTTCGCTACTGGAAGGAGGGCCAGGTGTCATGGAAAGAATACAGGGATGCTGTTTGTGTTTGTAGGAAGAAAATTCGTGTGGCTAAAGCACACCTAGAGTTGAAGCTGGCTGTGTCTGTGAGAGAAAATAAAAAGGGTTTTTTTAGATATGTGAATGGAAAAAGGAGAACTAAAGAACACATAGAGCCGCTCCTTGATAGGGAAGGTCTCCTCACAGACAATGACATAGGCAAAGCAGAGACGCTTAACGCCTTCTTTGCCTCTGTCTTCAATGCCGATGATGGGCTTTGGGACCCAGGGTGCCCTGAGCTGGAGGACCGGGACGGTGGGGATGACAAACTCCCAACCGACCCTGAACGTGTGCGGGATTTGCTACTCCACCTGGATCCCTACAAGTCCATGGGTCCGGATGGGATTCATCCCCGGGTGCTGAAAGAGCTGGAGGACGTCATCGCGGAACCTCTCTCTATTATTTTTCAACGATCCTGGGAATCTGGAGAGGTCCCGGTAGACTGGAAGCTGGCAAATGTTGTGCCGATTTTCAAGAAGGGTCAGAAAGAAGACCCTAGCAATTACAGGCCTGTCAGTCTCACGTCAGTGCCTGGTAAAATCATGGAGAAGATGGTTCTCGAACTTATTGAGGCGCACCTGGGGGACAAAGCAGTCATTGGTCCCAGCCAGCATGGGTTTGTGAAGGGTAGGTCCTGCCTAACTAACCTGATTTCCTTTTATGATAAGATCACCCGTATGGTGGACCAAGGGAAACCAGCTGATGTGATTTTTTTGGACTTCAGCAAGGCTTTTGACACGGTTTCCCATAGGATCCTACTGGACAAAATGTCCACCATACAGCTAAATAAAAACATCATACGATGGGTGAGCAATTGGCTAACGGGCAGGGCCCAAAGGGTTATGGTAAATGGGACTGCGTCAGGCTGGCGGGCGGTCACCAGTGGGGTCCCTCAAGGCTTCATTTTAGGACTGGTACTTTTCAATATTTTTATAAACGATCTGGATGTAGGAATAGAAGGTATTTTGAGCAAGTTTGCTGATGACACCAAACTTGGAGGAGCTGTGGACTCGAATGAGGGTGGAAAGGCCTTGCAGAGGGATCTGGATAGGTTGGAGAACTGGGCGATCACCAACCGCATGAAGTTCAATAAGAGCAAGTGCCGGGTCCTGCACCTGGGACGGGGAAACCCTGGCTGCACGTACAGACTGGGCGATGAGACGCTGGAGAGCGGCCTAGAAGAGAGGGATCTGGGGGTCGTGGTAGACAGCAAGTTGAATATGAGCCAGCAGTGTGCCCTGGCAGCCAGGAGGGCCAACCGTGTCCTGGGGTGCATCAAGCACGGCATCGCTAGTAGGTCGAGGGAGGTGATTGTCCCGCTCTACTCTGCGCTGGTGAGGCCTCACTTCGAGTACTGTGTGCAGTTCTGGGCACCACAGTATAAAAAGGACATGAAACTGTTGGAGAGTGTCCAGAGGAGGGCTACGAAGATGGTGAAAGACGTAGACGATGGAGGGGAAGACGTACGAGGAACGGCTGAGGGCACTGGGCCTGTTCAGCCTGGAGAAGAGGAGGCTGAGGGGAGACCTCATCGCAGTCTACAACTTCCTCGTAAGGGTGTGTTGAGAGGCAGGAGACCTTTTCTCCATTAACACCAGTGACAGGACCTCCGCGAACGGGGTTAAGCTGAGGCAGGGGAAATTTAGGCTTGACATCAGGAGGGGGTTCTTCACAGAGAGGGTGGTTGCACACTGGAACAGGCTCCCCAGGGAAGTGGTCACTGCACCGAGCCTGTCTGAATTTAAGAAGAGATTGGACTGTGCACTTAGTCACATGGTCTGAACTTTTGGGTAGACCTGTGTGGTGTCAAGAGTTGGACTTGATGATCCTTAAGGGTCCCTTCCAACTCAGGATATTCTATGATTCTATGATTCTATTGTCCTAATTCAAATTCTGATTGCCATTTGCTCACAAACATGACTTGCTGCTAAACGCACTCAATTAAGAGTTGCTCAAGTTGCGTTGGATCAACGTTTCACATTTCTGAGTCCATTTTTGACTAAAGAAGCTAACTTTCTCCTTAGAAGGGCAGAAAAAGGGTATGTTGCAGTTTTACAGTTGTTCTCCATCACAGAAATGAGGAAGAGAGAGTTTGTGTTTTCCCTGTACAAATCAGCTTTCTTTGTACACAAACACCACTAATTACCTTCTCTTCATGCCTGAATATCAGAAAATTATCTATATTTAGCAGACTGAATGTAGCATTAGGAGTAGGATAAGGCTTCAGAGCAAGACACAAGTGTCTTCTTCAGAAGAATCCAGCATTTCTCAAAGTTCGATACTATCAATACATTCACTTACAGAAGAGAATGAATTTGAGTAAAACTTCTGACACTCTTTCAATCTCATGGATTCTCAGCATGTCTCTTTCAGAGGACAACATGAAGACTTGTGTTCTATATAAGTTACTCATTCTGCTGATATTACTTTTCAACCTCATACTCAAGCACGGCAGATAAGTGACACATCTTCATCATGTTGTATTCCTCCTCCTTCCCCAGGTTCTTTTAGTGTCATAAAAAAAGAAAATACAGAGGGAAGGGTGGAGTGCATCCAGGAAATGCAACAGGGATGTGTGAAATGAAGAGCTACCCCAGGACTGGTGGGAGAGC